ATGTCCAGGTGCAGACTCTCTGGCCTGGGTTCCCAGGTTGCTCCTGCCCTGGGCTCTTCCAGCCTCTCCTCTGGCTTCATAAATTCCTTCCGTAATCAGTGTGTATAAAAGATACACTTCAAGGAATCCTGCTCTGCAAGGTTCTCCACCCTCAGAGTATAGCAAAGCCAGTGAGGTCCTGAAATCAGAGAAGCCGTAATTATTCAAACAAGACCCTCAGGACACTGAGCCCTCTAACAGCCCTTGCTGCTGGAGAAGCCCCTCCCCAAGGAGGTTAAGCCACAGTAAGGATGTCTGGAAAAGTCTTAAGGAATCATACTATTAACCATCTATCTAGAAACAATCTATAGTGCACACAGTTGGGTGTATAAATACACATATGTAGCATAAATGGCATTTTCTCATCAGGGATGCCAATGCTCCCTCAGAGAGTGAGAGTCCTGTAACAGTAATGCCTGCTGCTGAGGGGAAGGGGCTCTCCAGTAGGGCAGCCAGCAGCTGTCCACACTCCCGTAAGTAACCCTTCACCCGTGTTCTAGTAAGCTACCCCAATAAATCACCCATCCACTAAGCTATGCCCTGATGGAATCAGTTCTTTGGTCTGTTGTTGTTTGTGTCCTGTCTGGGCTGAGCAGAACTTTGCTCGCATTCCCTCGGGGGGAAGTTATCGGATGTGTAGCCGTGAATACCACTCTCTAGTTTCCTTTTAACGGTTACACTTTTGGGCTAAATTTAAGACATGGGGGCCGAGGAAATGGCTCAGTGCGTAAAGCGTTTTCTCTGCAAATGCGAAGACCTGACTTTGGCTCCCCAGAGTCCACGTAAAAAGCCAGGTGCAGCACGGCATATCTGCAATGCCAGAACTGTCACCGGTAGCAGGGGAGGCAACAATGGGGACAGGCAGATCCCTGGGGCTCACAAGCAACCTGGTCTAGAAGAAACCATACAACCCAGGCTCAGTGAGAAACCCTGTCTCAAAAAAAAAAAAAAAAAAAAAAGATGAAGCGTGGTTGAGGAGGACACCCAGGACTAACCTCTGACCTCACACATGCACACACCCATATAAACACACGGCGTCCATACACCACACATTCAAATACAAATTAGGATTTTTAAAAATTTTTTATGTGTTTGGGTGTTTTGTTTGGAGAGATGAACAGGCATGCGCTGGGTGTGTGCCACTGCTGAGTGACCATCAGAATCCCTAGAACTGGAGTTTACAGATGGTTGTAAGTTTTTTGTGTGTGCTCAGAATTGAACCTGGGCTCTTCTGGAAGACCAGGCTGTCCTCGAACTCCCAAGAGATCCTCCTGCCTCTGCCTCCTGAGTGCTGAGATTAAAGGCATGTGCCACCTCACCTGGCCACACATATTTATTTTTAATGAACCACTTTAAAGTCCCAGCTTCCAAGGCCAGAACTTAAGAACTTAGGTCAGGCACTCTCTCTATACTGCGCCATGAAGGGTTAAAAAAAAAACACATAACAGCCACATCTGCAGCCCCGTGTCACAATCTGGTGAGGCGACTCCACGGCATGTCTTCAACATGAAGATGGTCCCACCCAGTCTTCCCACAAATTGGAAAGTGACCAAGGGACATCTTCAGTTTTGCCCGTGTCACAGTGAACACGGGGCTCTAAAGAAGACATATCCTCACCCACTACTGCCCAAGACGAGCGCTTTCTGGGTTGTGAGGCCCTGGGTTCTTACTTGCCTGTTAACAGTCATAATCAAACTCAACAGCGCCGGCTGGGCTCTCCATGGCAATCAGACCTGCAGGTTGTCCACCTATTAGTGACAGTTTCTGGATTGTCCTCTATGAATCTTACCTGCTTGGCTTTTGATGAGCTCAATGTCAGCAGTCATTAAAAGCTGCTGGGCAAAGACAAACGAAGCCACCAGCGCCATCAGGCCCAACAGAGGCCACAGTACCTGAAGACTTAATTGACTAACACGACAGACTAAGTGATTTTTCCGAGTGAGAATGAAGCTGCAGGGAAAACAGAAAGAAAGAAACAGACAGAAAGCAAAAGCGCGATGTTTGGAGCTGGCGTGGGAACAACAGAACCCTGTCCCCTCTGCTCCTGCCTCTGCCTGCTTATCCTCGCCAGCTGTTGGCGCAAACCACTCCTGGGCTTGTGGTCTCGCTTGGAGTCCTAAATCCAGGCTTTCACCCCCACTGTGGACTTGCCATTCATCCTTGGGGTCATCCTTCCCTGCTTGCTCTGAGACACAGGGGCCAGCTGGCCACTGTGTCCCGTTCAGCCAGCAAACTAGAGTGCCATATTCAAGACAAGATCCTTGGGACCCAGCTCACAGCTCCTCCTTCGGGGCTTCTGAGGTTCCCACAGAGAAGGACGGGCATTAAAATTCAGCAGATCAAAGGGAACCTGTCTCCAAACATTATAACCCAAATAATCACATGCATGTCACCATACAAGTGAAGGAATTTCAGGAGCTCAGGCTTGAGTAGAGGCCACCAAGGGGCTGGGAGAGAGTGTGGTGTGCGGGAAGGGGGTGGCGAGGCTGCTTGCTGTAGGTCTGTGAAGGTGAAGAGGTGGGTGATGAGGGGGCATACACACAGGTATGCACAGGCACCAGCAAGAGGACAGAATGTCCACACACCAGAGGACGGTGGAGTAAAAGCCACAGGGTCTCTGCACGGTCTGACATAACTCCATGGGAATCCTCAGAGATGGCCGCCCCCAGTTCCCCCGAGAAAGAGAAGAGGGCTGTAGGCAGGACGGTCTCTACTCTGCACCGAGGCACTCACCTTGAGCCAGCCTGAGCAATATCGCAGCCGGGGAGGAAGTGTACTTACAGTGACTCTCACATGGGTCCCCAGCAGCCAGGATGGGGCACTGGTTTTATTTTCCGCTAAGTGTACTGAGTTGCAGACACCGCTTTGATGGCAGATGTCCTTTGAAAGACACAGCAGTCCCTGTTTGCAACCCTTTCAATCTCCAAATTGCCCAGCTCGCGGCGGGTACAGATTGCAGAACTGACCACAGCAGCCCCATTAGCACAGCTGTGTCTCTTTCTTTCCCGCTTGTCTCCTGGCTGGCGTGAGCCGAAGTCCCCATCCCTGTCTTAGCGTGGTGCTAAAAGCAGCCACTAATGTGCCCTACATCGAGAATGTCCCCTGCCGCTTCCCATTGCACTCTGTCCAGAATGCAGGTTGCTTTTCAAAGGACAACTGAGGACCAGTGTTAACCAAGGCCATGTTTCTGTATAGCCTGAGTCACCGGCTCCGTCTCACGGTATTTGAGTCCCCGCCACCTGGACACATTCATTAAGCCAACACCACACCCTTAAGTTCTGCTACTCATGCCTCACTCCACTCTGCCCTGTGTTTTGTGTCAGCTAAGATACAATCTGGCCCCAAGCAGCGGAAATTATAAAACAGCAATCACTTAAACAAGGAGGATTTAATTCTTCTTTTTGAGGCTCAAAGTGGTGCAGGGAGGAAGCACGGGAAGGAGTGGGACTCACGGGAGTCGAGGAATCTCTCCCTTCCATCCTGTGACCTTTGGGATCCATGCATGGGGTGGTTGACCCCCACCCAACCATCACACTCTCACTCCCTCCAAGATGGGGGCTAGACAGACCATCTCCACCCTGCAAAGACACTTCCTAGAAGTGGGCCTTCCTTGGACCAGAATGGAGTCATGGAGTCACATGTCTGCATCTGGCTGGAGGATGGGAAATGTCACTGACAGAATGGACCACTCCTTCACGGTAGGATTTGGGGTTCTTTCCCTGAGCAAGAAGAGATAGCCTATGTTGGTGTATTTGGGGGTATCTGGCCTCCTGCGGCCCCTGAAACTTAGTTACAGAGTCCTTGACGGCTTAGGCTTCCAGAATTCTAATCACTTCTTTACAGGTTTGTGGGCAGTGCTACAGAGAAGAGAGCTCCTCTCATAAACACCCCCACCAAGTGCTGCCCTGGATCCTAGCTAGCTGGCTGGGTCATCCGTGAAGCAGGCCACCGCCGCTCTTCACAGGGACATAAATGATGTCTCCCTGGTCAAGGAGGGAAGTTTAGTGAGGGTTTGTTGTTCCCAAGTGTGCATGTTTGCTTGCACAGTTGCTCATTTGTGCTTCAGATGGGCTCTCACTCTGCAGCCCAGGCTGGCTTGAACTCCTGCTCGCACAGTCCCCTCTCCCAGGGCTGGAATTGCAGATGTGCTCCCCCACCACGTCTGGCAGAAAAGGAAAGCATTCCGACGACAAGGGCTTCTGCACGCAGCAACCCTAAAGTCCAGCAGAACGCATGCCCGAGCTGGGAGTTCAACAGCCCAGGTTGTTACTGCGTGCACACATAAAAATAAATAAATATAAATGCATTTAATTAAATGAAGCACGGAATGAATTTTTAACTCCAGCGACTGTAGCTAACTTTGGATTAGCAAGTCATTTGGAAGCTGAGGTCCTTAATAAAAGCACATTTCCCTGAAAATATTCGCCACTGTTGTCTTATTTCACACTCCATCGACACCTCACAAGGAGGCGGAGATGCACCAGAGGGGGGTGGTCTTCAAGGAAGCCTCCTGGTGCTGGCATCCCCAGTAAGAAACACCTCAAGGGTGCGGATAGATTTCATTGTTTCAAAGTTTGCTTGGTGGCACTGGGGATTGAACCCAGGATTGCTCTGTTCATGACTGGACAGGAACCTGTGGGAAGAACCAGCCAGATGACACCCAGGAGTGTCTCCTGCAGACATCAGCAGAGGAAGAGGATGCCAGTATCCAATTGACATCTAAACAGGGGTCATGTCACACTTCGGAAATACGCAGGAAGACACCAAGAGGACTGGATGTCAGAACCCCAAGGTATATGGCCTGGGGAAATGACCATGAGCTGGTGGCATGGGGATGCTGGGACTTCTCTGACAAATATCTAAAAAGGTTGGCAAGGTAAGTGTTAAGAGATGTCTAATTAAGTATCTACACAATGTAACACTTTGCTCTCCTTGTTAATTGCTGAATCTGCATTCATGAATATCACATGAGTATTTTATTACTTTTGGAAACAATGTGCTGGAGAGCATCTTACAAGGCAAGAATTTGCAAATGTGTACCACAAGACCAAGGGAAAGCGAGATGAGCCACCATCAGAGATGCACTAACTTAAAACCTCTTGGGAGCATCTAGTCATGTGTTCCTAGCACAAGGCATGGAGGCATCATAATGTGTTTGTTGTGAGCTGGGATTTCCAAGAAGAATGCTTAGGGGAATGTGCCAAGCTTGGGTTCCTCAGAAGAGCCTGGAAGCCAGTGTTGCATATTAAGACTTGCTGGCCTTGGAGGTGTCTGTTGTAGCTATGAAACTCTGCTGTCAGAGCCCAGAGCAGCCTGGTGCCACAAGTTGTACTGAGTGTCAATAAAACTTTATTTACAAGAACAGACAAGGGGGCCAGATTCCCCCATGGTGTTCATTTTTTTCCCTTGGCTTAGGTCTAGAAAGATCTGATGACCATCTACCAACCTGAGTCCATAACTCAGACTCAAAACTATTTTTTCTTTAAAAAATGCATGTGTGTGCATGCATGATGAGCGTGCATGGGTACACATGTCATGGTGCGCATGTTTAGCTCGGAGGACAACTTTGCTGAGTCAATGCTCATTACCTGCTCAGACTTTTAAAAAGGCGCATGTCCTTGTAAATAAGTTTGAAATAATGTTCCTACCCTGCCCCACCCTGTCCCACCCTGCCCCACTTCTACCATACAATTTACATGAACACTAAGTGGACAACAAAATCCTGTAAAAAAAAAAACTATGGTCTTATATAAACAGAAATCTAATCATAACATATTCCTTCAACACTTGCTAAATTATTTTACTATACTGATGTGGGGAAGTTAAATCATGGTACGTCTTAGATTCTCAAAGCACGCTCTGTTTACATGATTTCAAACTTAATTATTTTTCTCAAAATAACATAGCTGGCTTAGCTAATCAAAGCGTGGAAGGGGCTGTTATCGTTTTTTTTTTTTAAATCACAGAGAGTACTTATTACCTATGCTCTAGGAAGCACTTTCCCGTTTATTAGCTTTACCCACTTAAAATGAAGCAGAGCAACAATTATGGAAATGTAAATAATCTTTTAAAAACTCGTTTTCATCTTCTTCCAGAATTACCCACTGCTCATAAAACAGCTAGGTGATCTATGGGTTGTATTCTCACTCACCATCAGAGCTGGGTCACCAAGAGAAGCAAAAGAATACAAGATTTAAGTCTTTCCAGAAAAACGTGACAAATCAAATTTACAATGCACATAGCCCGCCATTCTGCTTTGCTTCAAGACACTGTGTTTGGATCCATGGTTGACCCTCATCCTAGGACCATGTCCTAGGTTCTCCCTTATTGCTATGGTTCCCAGTTCAAAAGTACAGTCCATCGAGGAGGGAAGTCAAGGTGACAGGAATCTAAGGCAGCCGGTCATGTGACGTGCTCGGATCAATCAGAAAGCAGGGAGGGATGAAAGCTGAGGCTTGGCTCCCTGTCCCCACTTTTACCGTCCAGGGTCGAGGAATGGTGCCACCCACAGTGGACATGTCTCCTCATCCCAATGCAAACAAGATAACCCCTCACCGGCAGGCCAGAGGGACATCTCCCAGATGTTTCCCAAGAGATTGCCAAGCTTGCAGCACTAGCTACTGTGAATTAGGACATCCTGAAGAACAGAGAACAAAAGGAGGGGACCCATGAGGAGCGACCATCCTCCCAGATCAAGCCCACCACATGCCTTTAAGAAGGGACTCCTGATGCAGAACACATTGCTTCAGAAGGAGGACTTTTTTTTTAACTCAAGGAGTCTGGCAGCTCAGGGGAGAGGTCCTGCTCCAAGAAGGTCAGAGAGCTGAGGGTCTCAGCTCCTTCACTCTCTCCCTCCTCTCTGTAGACATGAGGCTGGTAGCCGGTGTCACCGTCCAGAACATCAACAGTGTGGAGCTTCTGTGGAGAAGGCCAGGGAAGGGGACAGTCACTGTCACGGGCTCCCGGACAGCATCAGTGTCCTCTAGGCTGGACTCGAGGAAAGCTTCTGTACCGTGGGGGGCAGGAGGGAGGCCTCAGCCCTGCACACTCAACTGTGGTGGTCAACCTGAAGGGGGAGATGCTATCTTCTTCATTGCTGTTCCAACCACGATGGTGAGCACCCTAGGTCCCGACAGAGGGCCTCCTGAGGGCTTCTCACCCATCCTTTCTCCCTTGTGTGTGCCTCCTTGGCACAATCCTCAGCCTTGCATATCCTGGACACGTCCTACTTATAACTCACCTGGGTCTCCGCTTAAGCCGGGGCCCTGTCTTGTCTCACGCTTACCACGTTTCCTGTTTGGGGAGCCTCTCTAACTCATAGACGTCCTTCCCTTCTGCCCACCCCACCACAGCCTCCTGGAAAGGGTGGTCTCAGCCCGTTGCACCCTCTGACGTCACCCTTGTTCACTCTCACCGTATCCTGGTTTCCCACACGTGCGCAAGCCACAGTGTCACCCTCTCCCTAACAAAGGTAACAGGCGTAACTTTCAGTCTGGGACACCCCCTGTCATCACATCCAGGGCCAGACACACACACACACACACACACACACACACACACACACACACACACACACACACACACACACACACACACACACAGGCATCACACTAAACATCCCTGAGGGTGCCTCCACTAGATCCACTCCCACCATCGCTGACTGAGGTGGCTCAGTTTCAAGTATACCATCCCGGATGTCGTTACCCAAAAGGACAAAAGCATTTGGATCACGGAGGCTCAGAGCACAACATGGGGGCTGGAGAAAGGCCTGGGAAGGGGAAGCTGTGGGACCCCAGCGCCCCCTCCCCCCCACGTGCTCTCCTAACAGCAATCATCGGTTGGTGCATGCGCAGCTGCAGCCAGCTGCTCTCTGGTTCCCTGTCTCACAGGAGGGTCTGCTTCCTTCACAGCAGAAACCCAGCCTCTGCCGTGCGTGGAATCTGGTGCCCGCAGACAGGAGTGGATCCCATACGGCTGCCGGGCCCGTTATCCACTCCACGCCCCGGGTGGTGGAGAGGAGAGGAAGCTCTCTCGCGCCCGAGAGGGGAAGGTCCGAACCTGGCCCAGATGTCAGGGAGTCCAGTCACGTCCTCTGGGCAAAGCTAAATAGATAATTCATGACAAACCTGGTGTGTGCAGTGCAAAACTGAATCAGCAGCAGGGGCTGCACCTCAGGAATTCAACTTCAAACCCCCAAGGCTGGCGGCCAAGCAGCAGGGCTCTGCGCCCTGATTCAGCGATTCCAGAGTCCCCTAAGATCAATAATTCATCACAAACCACCAACTAAGTCTGAAGGCTCACACGAGGGAAAGAACTGCTCTTCGCATCTGGGTTTTTTTTTTTTCTTTTCTCTTTCCTTTCCCTCTCACACCATGGAACTCGGGGCTTAAGTTGCACTGCACAAAGCGGCTTGCCTGGCTGGTGCGGGAGGAGGGACGTTCTCGCACCGGAACGCAGTCTTTTCCTGCCCTACATGCACGGGACCCGTGGCCCTATGTGTGCTGCCTACTTGGTTCCGGCTAGGTGTGTGCACGCATGAAGATGGGCCCCGGGTGTCATGGTCACCAGGAGACGTATGTGGCAGGTGGACAGCATCTCTGGAGATGGGGTGGAACCGACCAGCCACCCTTCATGGTTAAGAAGCACGGGTTTTGGTGGCATTGCTCAATAGCCACGTGGGCTGGTCTGGACTCTGTTCTAGGCCCAGATCCAGTCCCCGCACCTCTGCCACAAGGAGGAGACAGTGGCCCTGGCCCCAGACACAACTCTGCCTTCGAAGCTCGACAGTGGGAGTGAGCCAGCGGCCTGTGCCAAAGGCTCAGCTCCACCGTGTGGATGGATGAGTCGGTGGCCTACGACGTCCACCCCGAGCTCTGCCTTCATGGCTCTGCCGTGTGGACTAACTCCCTGGGCCTCGGTTTTCAGGCCCGCCTTTCTCCTGGAGCTTTCGTGACAAGTCCGTCTTTCCATCTTCACTGCTTACTCCCTTCAGGACTTGAAGTATACAGAAGCGAGGTTCAGGGGCAGGGCTTCGGGACTGTGATTGGATCCTGAAGCTTCGGGACTGTGATTGGATGCTGAAGACTCCCCGCCTTCACCAATGGGAAATGATGTCGTGACGGGAGGCGGGGTCTGGGAGGAGGAAGGGGGCCTCCTGGGGCTGTGCTGCCCTCTCCTGCCTCTGACTCTCCCTGTTATGTTACTCCGCCCGCTCGGCTTCATGGCAGCCCCGAGTTGGCCACCTTTTTTGTGCCATGTGTCCCCCACTGCCAGGAGTCCTCACACCACAGGCTCACAGCAATGGGGACAGCCAACCGGGGCCGACGCCTCTGAAATGGAGACAGGATAAGTCCTTCCTCCTACTCAGGGCCCTTTTTCCTGCCAGGTATTTTGCCAGAAACGAAAATCTGGCACTCTGTAAGGATAGAGGGTTCCATTATGGAAGTTCTAGTCTAGGGGGGGGAAGGGATGGGGGGGAGGGAGGGAGAGTGTGTAGGGAAAGAGGAAGGGAACGAGAGGGGGAAGGGGAGGGAGGGAGGTGGGGAGGGGGAGGGAGAATGGGAGACAGGGGGTAGGGAGGGAGAAGGGGGTAGGGAAAGAGAAAAGGAGAAAGGGGAAGGGAGGGACGGGGGTGAGACAGACAGAGACAGAGAGAGAGAGAGAGAGAGAGAGAGAGAGAGAGAGAGAGAGAGAGAGAGAGGAGAGAGAGATCTGGACACAAAGTCTCCCGCTCAGGAGCCTTTGGTGGATTCCAGCAGCCACTGGGCATTGCCCACACTGCAGAACTCAAAAGCTGGAGTCTATGGCAGCTTCAGATATATAGCACCAACCAGGGAAATGCAGAGGCGCTGATGCTGGGAGACCCTGGCAGGGGCTCTACGTCTAAACACAGTCTGGGCTCACTTCCTCAGGCCCTGATGCCCTGAAGCCCTGCCTCTTGTCCACTCTGGCACTGGAGATGGAGCTGTCTGCGCCATCAAGAGGGCTCTCACAAGACAAGTTCCCATAGGCTAATCTCAGAAGCCCTGTTGAGCACCCCATGCTCACGACACCACGAGGGTTCACAAAACCTCAGATTTGAGGCTCCGATGATGTTTTCCATTATCTTTTGTGGTTTGAGTCACTGTGTTATGGCAGCCTTTGCTGACCCATACAGTGGTTTAGGAGAGGGCGTCCCCGGTCAGACGCAGAACGATGTAGGAAAAGAGGAGGGGCTGGCAGCCAGAACAAGGACAAAAAAAGAGCACGTACCCGGTTCCACGTCTCCACCACCCTTCCTTCCATCAGTTGCAGGGGGCGTCTGGGTACCAAGTGATCCAGATAGACCTGCAAGATGAACCAGAGGCATCTAGCCTGAGGAGCCCTTACCATACAGCTCCTTGCACCAGCACACGCTGTCCTCAGCACAGGCTCGACACTGAGGTAGAATCAGGTGCTCACACTCCCCCTCTGCGTGCTGGGAGAAGGGAGGTCCTGCACGTGGCATCACGAGGTCTTCCACACATGAATAGAAACACGTCAGCAGGGAAAGCGGCTGAGTCCATCCGATAGCAGCATTAAGGTCTCTTCCAAAAACTCCTTTCCTTGGGGGACCTTTGTGTGCTCCCCAAATCCCCGCTTATAATCTTTCCCCCTGAGCCTTGCTCATCGTGGCCAGCCCAGGGTGGGCACACGGGGGTGGAGTTCACTGTGTTAATGCATCGATCTGACCTCCAAGGGCTGTCCAAGGAGGACATGTACAGGGGAGAGAAAAGAGTGAACCTGTACCTGGTGGTTCTCCAGCTCTACCTGTTGGGGGGAAGTCCTGTGCATTTGTCAATAAAGCACTGCTGGCCAATAGGAATCTAGATAGGAGGGACTAGGAATCCAGGAGAACTCTGGGAAGGAGAAACACAGGAAAGTCAAGATGTAACGCCATGGGGTAGGAAGCCCAGAACTATTCTCCGGTAAGAGAAATACTTAGATTAACAATTATGGGGTAATTACTTAAGTCAGAGCTAGCCAGTAAGAAACAAGCAAGGCCAACAGCTTCATAATTAATATAGCCTCCTGTGTGTTTATTTGGGACTGATGCGGCTCTAGAACCAGGCTGGCGGGAAGGCTTCTCAAGGAAAAGGTTTCCCTTTACACTACCACAGGCCAGGTCCTGGGCTCCGGCTGTCAAGCACCTTTGCTCTCAGTTCATCCGCGCATGTGCTAGGCCAGTACCCGAGAGAGCCAGGAAGGTGAAGAGTCCTGGGTGACAGGAGGGTCCTTCACCTAGCTGGAGCCAGGAAGACCTCTTAGGACGAGGAGGAACATGAGGGGGGAATGGAAGGGCCACGGGGCAGGTATTTCTAGGGGGCCCCAAGTCAGGAGGGAGGCTGGCGGGTCCTCACGTAGGTGGGGACAGAGATCACCGTGAGTGGAGCTGAGGAGGGGAAGAACACGGGCAGAGGTGGGGAGGCGGAGGGTGTCACAGGGCGATGACAAGCTGCTGGGGACTACAAAGCAGAGGTGGCATGCTAACCCGTGCCCAGGAAGGACGTGTGGCACGTTGTGGCTGAGCTGATTTGTGACCATCCTGTGTTTGGAGACACCCAGTCCCAAATGCCATTCCTACATATGATAACGTCTAGGCCAATTTTACATCTCTTTGATGGCACACATAGGCATTGTGTCACAGAAGCTCAACAGACCCGCCTCAATACATATACACTTACACATGAGCATATATGCATATATAGTGGCATGTGTGTGTGTGTGTAGTGTGTGTGTGTGTGTGTGTGTGTGTGTGTGTGTGTATGCTTTACCACGTCAAGGTAGACAGAACTAAACACATTCAACAACAGTGACAAAGCGTGGGCTGCCACCACAGTCCTGGGTACACTGCCCGCCTGCTCCCGGGGCTGGGAGCCCTTGATTAGAAATGTCACCACTGCTTACTGCCCTCAGTTTAGCTCCACGTGCTTCTCTAAGAACTCTCCTTCAGACTCGAGCTCCGGGGCTGGAGGGAAGGCTCAGGGGTTCAAGCACTTGCAAAGCAAGAAAGCAGTGAGAGTTCAAATCTCCAGAACCTGTGTGAATTCTGTGTGGGCATGGCAGTCTGTCTACACTTCCAGCCTCAAAGGGTAGAGATGAGATCCGCAGAGCAAGCCGATGAGGGAGAGCAGCCACTCCTGTGAGGTCTGGGTTGGCGGAAAGACACAGCCTTAAAGGAAGGAGTAAGGTGGAAAAGTGATGGAGGATGATTCTGGATGTCAACAGAAGTCCACAGGCATGTGCACACCAGAGCACATGCTATATGTTATGTACACATACACACACACACACACACACATGCACGTGCACGCACACACACATACGAACACACACGCACTCTGAAAAAAGGGAAGGAATGCAGGCTTTGTGTGACATAGAACTTCAGGTCTTTTCTACTCCTGGTCAGAAGAGGAGGCCTCTTCCCTAAGAGGACTCAAGCTGGTTTTGCCTTGAGTCACTTAGCATCCGAACACCGCACTAGAGGAGGCGCCTCCGGCCACCAGGACGGTACCATCTCCTGACTGGGCATCTGTCTAGTCTCAGCCATTGGCCTCGGGACAAATCTCTAGGTCTGAGACTGTGCAACAGTCTTCAGCAAAAGGACGTTTCATCTCAGCTTAGGTGTTTGCAGACTACTTTAGCTTCTGCAATATAGCGGAAGGCAGTCCTCATCGTTTTGAACCCTGTCTGGGATGCCACACCAATTGGCTTCTTATGAAACTTGAATTAGGATTTTTTTTGTCCCATGTCTAACAAATCAAAGAGAATTTTCACAGGATGACCAAGGCTGTCTAAATAGTGTTGATATTTGGGATGACTCCAGGAACGTATCAAACATTTCCCGATGCTCCAAAAGCAACTTCCAGAGAAGAATTGGGCATTGGGAAGCATACTCCTGCAACTTCACCTCAGCACCCACATTTCTGTGGCGTCTGGCTTCACCTGATCATTATCCGAATCCATCACTCCGGTTAACAAGTGTGAGTTGTGTCAATACCCGCTCCCAGCAGCCCTTTAAAACAGCCACTCATCTGCCTCATTTAGAGTGGGCACTTGGTAGGATTTTGGTGGGAAAAAAGGAATCTGCTACCGCACGTGCTCAGAGGAGGGATGGCTCCACCCCATCTCCAGCAGATCAACCTCTCAAAACGCCTGTCAGGGTAAAGACAAGCGCAGATACACATCCGCTAGGACCAAGCATGCAGCAACCCAGCAGCCAGGACTGATGCCCACATGCCTTCACATCCCTGGAAACCTGTGCTTTAACTACTCGCTTCGCATATGTGAATGGAGACTATCATGCGTGAGTGTGCATGTATGTGTGACGGCTTGAAGTTAATGTCAGTTGTTTTGGGCCATTCAGCCTTTTTTAATCTTTAAAATTCATTGTTTGTGTGCACATGCCTCTGTGGGATTGCTGTCCTGTCTATGCCACGGAGCGTGTGTGGAGGTCAGAGGGCAACTTGCAGGAGTCGATTCTCTCCTAGCGTTTATCCCGTGGGCTCCTGGGACGTAGCTGCGGTCATCGGGCTGGGGCAGCAATCACTTTTGCCGGCTGAGCCATCTCACTGGCCCCCAGCCCTTACTTTTTGATACGCGGCCCCTCAGCAAGCCTTAAACTCGTCGGTTTGGCTAGGGTGACTGGCCAGAGAGCTCCAGGATGTACCTGTCTCGTCCCCTCCCGCACTGGGATCTTCATGCTTGCCTGGACCCCTCCCAGTCTGAGCCTGTTTCAGCCACTTCCAGTCCATGCTACACACTCCACTCTAGGTATGTTGGGTGCTGACTGTATTTTGCACACCCCACCCTTGTCTCCCAAACCACCTATTTTAGTGGGTTTTGAGCAAGGCAATGCTCATGGTGCCGTGCATGGCTGTACTTACTGGGGTGGAAGATCGGTTTCTCATACCTCCTGGCTCGAGGAACATGTCATGACCCTTAAACTGAAGAAGAATGAGGTTTTGTTGATTTCATATAAATCAGAGACAGAGGTCAATGCAAGGCTAGTGGTCCTTGGGATGATGCTACTTTTCATTGCTGAAGGGGAGGGTCCTAAAGATAGCAGTACACCTTAAATATGTCTCCCTCATATACCACAAAGCTAAACTTTTATTAAAACAGGAACTTATTGAATGGGTGAGGTTCAAATGACATGTGCACCCCAGACTCATGTTGAGAGAGCACAGGTAACCCCTTAGCTAGGACATATGCTATGGTCATATTAAGGTGTTCTCCAGGGGGCCTGGGAGAGTCCACAGGTACCCTTTACTTCATAGCTTCTTTTGACTTTGAAAGTATTCCGTAAAAATCACTTTGCCAAGCAAGGCTGTAATTATAGAGTTGGGATATGGGGTAAATACAGACGCTCTGTGGAGTGGGAGCCAGGGTTCTGCTCACAGGCATTGTGGGGCTCGTTCACAGGCTTTAATCTTAGAGACTGAGCTCTGGTGCCCTCAGATGGACACAAGAAAGTGCTTCTGTTTGTGGAAGGTCTGAATTGTGTCACGTTTGATGAGGGCTATCAAACAACAGATATGTGTAAGAGAGGGGGAGAGGGAGAAGGAGGGAGGGAGGGGGAGAGGGAGAGAGACTATCATGGGTCAGTGGGTGTCTGTCTGACTCCAGTCCCTGGGGAGGTGGAAAGCAGAGGATCCCCGAGGTGCCTGCCAGCAAGTTTACACTAATTGAGGCTCAGGTCCCTGTGAGAGACTCCGTAACAAAAACAAACGTAGGAGATGGATCCTAAGGAAGGGCATCTGAGGTTGACCTCTGACCTCCAATCACAGTGTACACATGTGCATCAAGCACAGCACACACACACATACACACATAGACACAGACAGACACACATATACACATAGACAGATACATACACAGACACACATAGACACATGCAGACACACAGAGACACACATACACACACAGATAGCCACACACAAACACAGACAGACACACACACACACACACCATAAAGGAAATGCAGATGTCAGTGGATCTTGACACTGGCTTGAAGATACCGCCTTGTTTGCCACAGAGTTCAAAGCATCGCACCAGCAATCAGTCCCAAGGGGCTCCTTGACTCTAGAAGTGCGAACAGAGGCTGATCTTACGGCCACTGTGAATGCACTTAGTGTATGCAGGACCCTGGGAAGGAAGCCCAGAGATTATGCGCACTTGAGGGCAAAAGGCCTCAGTTTTCTCCCCTGTAGAGTAGGGGCCAGTGCTGTGGTGGTTTAAATGAACAAGCCCCGTAGACTTCAGCTAGTGCTGCTGTCTGCAGAGGCTGCGGCACCTTTAGGAGGGGGAGTGTGTCCCTGGGGGTGCGCTGTGTGAGTTTACACCCTCGCCCCACTTCCAGTTCCCCTTCTGCTTCCTGTGTACGGTCAAGCTGTGACCTCTCAGCTCTCACCCTGCCGTGCCTCCCCACCACGATGGAGCCCTTCCTTCTGTAAGCTGCCTTTGCTCATGGCATTTTGTCCCAGAAAAAGAACGAATACATACATTCCCCCCTCCCAGGTACAGTTCTAGTGTGAACTCAGTGGGAGTGGGCATGCCCGGGGATTGCCCCATAAGTCACACCGAGGTAATTACCTGCCCTCCAGAAACTTCCAGACTAAAGAACGGAAGAGAAAGCAATGCCAGTCAATCCACCTGCCATGGTTGTAGTTATGGGGACAAGGCGGGCTTCCCTGACTAGCAGGGCTGGATGAACAGGGTTAAGCAGAGAGCCCAGAGTCATTTTTGACTTCCAAAATCGGAGGCACCTACTACTTAGTCAAAGGGAGACTGGGCATGTGTGTAAACAGTTCTAAGCTACTCTGTGAACTGAATGGTGAGGAATCCCTTCCCTCTCTCCAGTTCCTCGTCCAGAAACCTTGCATGTGGGCCGGAGAAGCAGCCAGGGTGTTTCTCCCGCAGAGCTAACAGCAGACACACAGAGTCTGCAGAGACATGTTACCTTCGCGTCAGGCTTGGCTCTGGCCGTAGCTGTGCTGAAGGACGGAGCAGGCCTCGGGTCTTCCCTAATTGGCTGCATCTGTAAAAACCAGAAGAAGAGATACAACAGAGGTCGGAGGGGAGCCCTGAAAATCAGCTAACGAAGAGCTACACAACCCAAAACACACGTAACGGCAATGTCGTCTGGGAAGAGCCATTTATTCCACACACCGGGTGATGCGTCTGGGGAGAGGGGTGTCTTGCTCTTCGTCGTCCCCAATGGCTGGCTGGGGGGTGGGGTGGGGGTTGAGCTTTCTACTCTGCATGTCATGGTATACCACGAGACCCTGGATCTCAAAAATCTTTCCTCAGGCACCAGCAACGGCCCTTAGGGTCTCATCCCATCCTCACTCAGCAGGAATCATCTCCAAGGGACCCCCCAAAGTGCTGCTGGCTGCCACCAGCCTCCCCACAAACAGGCAGGCCCTCCACAGGATCATTGCGGCAGCAGAAGGCGACAGTGCGGGCGAGTGGCATCTCAGACGGCATCTTTCCCCAAAACAGAACATGCCTGGTGTAGGGGCTGTAGTGACTGTCGTTTGTCAAGGTGAAATGGACAGACATGTGCCTGATGAAATGGTGTTACGCACCAATGGGGTCAGCTGCTGCCATTTGCTACATGCTTGTCGGTGCTCAGCTGAGGACATGGCTTTGATTAAATTGCCCAATCAACAGCAAAGGAGTAGAAACATTGACTTCCCTTTCACTATATACATGGAAAACCCAAGGCCAGCAAAATAACTTAGCTGATGCTCACCAATGTGAAATCGAAACTCAGACTGGTTAGATCTCAGGTCTCAGAGCACTAAATACACTGGGGCAGAACACTTGTTTCTCAGCTGCTATTTTGGGGGAGCTTATGGAATCTAGGGGGTGAAAGACACAGCGGGTGGAGGTGGGCCACCAGGGTGGACCTCTGAGGGTCACACATGACTCTGGGTTTTGACCTGCGCTCTCTCACCGTGAGAGAAGGCATTGCTGTATGCCCCGGCCACTATGGACCCACTCACTCCAGCCGCCATGAGCTCCTCACTGACATGGGTTAAATCTCCCGAACCATGAGTCAAGAAAAACAAGAAACTAAACGAATAAAACAGAAGCCCATCTTAAGTTTTTTTTTTCTGCTGAGTGTTTGGTGTCAGCAAAAAGAAAGTAATACAAGGCACGTCCAGTGACCGAGAGAGACAGGATTCCATTTTGACATTTTCTCTGTTTCTTAGATCAGCCACTCTCAGTTCCCAGTGAAGACAGACAGGAGAGTTCATGATACCATCATCTCATTGCCCATGCAACCCAGCCCAAAGTAGCTGCAAGGACAAGAGGCTCTATTTCAGCAGTATCAGGTGGGACATCCGGTTGTCACTTGGTCCTGACTCCATGCAAGTCGAGCTGTGTTGGGTACTTCCTTAGGCACTGTCCTCCAATCCAGTACCTGGGGAGCCGTCTCCATCACTCCAGACAGCAGATGGGCATGTGAGCTTCAATAGTGCATGGCTGGCTCAAATACACCAAGTTAGTACGATGTAAAGGCAGAAAGAGAGTCAACTCTTGTTGCTGTAAAACCAGGGAGATCTCTTCTCACCCTCTGTGGAGGAGGGCGCAGTGGTTCTGTTACAGGATAACTGACGGGGGTAGAGAAGTGAGTTCAGGTTTCACCAGGGAGCAAAGCAATGCCACCCAGAAAGTCACAACCTGGCAGAATTGTTTTTCTTCTGAGCTTGGTTTCTCAAGCCAGCACTTGGGACACTGGGCCAGATAATTCTGTGTTGGATGATAGTTGGCTACAGCCCTGGCCTCAGCCCACTAGAGGCCCATGGCATCTTCTAATTGCAAACATCCTAAGTACCTCCAGGCATTGTCAAGTGTCCCCCCCCAGGGACGAACTGAGCATGGTTGAGAACCACTGACAGAAAACACAAATGCATCTGACTGTGATACACAATTTTGGAGGAAATGCTTTCCTGTGTGTCACTCAAAGACAAATTAAGAGCAAAGAGCTGGCTTAGCTGTTAAGAGCACTGGTTGCCCTTCCCGAGGATCCAGGTTCAGTTCCTAGCATCCCCATGGCAGCCCCGAACAGTCACAGCTCATTACTCCAGCTCCAGGGTATCCGATACTCTTTTCTGGCCTCTGCAGGGAGTGCCCATACCTGGTGTTTAGACATGCGTGCGGGCGCTCACATATGCACACGAAGTAAGCTAATCTACGAAACGTGTGCTCTACAGATTTGCGCTGTTGACATCGCTGCCATGTAGCACACTGCTCCACAGTGCCTACCTGGGCTGAAAGGGCTTGGCTTTCCTCGTTGTACACAATCAGTGTCTGGTGGCCATTGTCACTTGGGATGAAGCCTCTGAGCCTCCTGGGTCCAAAAGCAAAGTGGCACCGCAGCAGGGAAAGCAGAGCAGCTGTGGAAAAAGAAAAAAAAAACAGAAAGGATTGAGCAAGCTCACCCCTGTCAGAGACTGCAGGGGAACAAGTTCCAGTCGCTTCCAATCAACTGCCACCTGACAGGGTCAGGCTCCACCTAAAGCATCTTAGGAGCTGAGCAGCAACGCAGGGCTCAGGTAGATGCCAATGCTTCTTGCTGAATTGATATTAACTGGCCAGGAATATCCCATTGTTTCCTGCAATAACTAGTGCCCTTATTAATAACCTTAGCTAAGCCCAGGAACCTAGATGCCTAGACACCTGTGTACTGCTGTAACCATGGTTACTACAAACATATGCTCACCCTTGGACCGTGCTCCTCTGTGGATTCCACTGTTTACACAATTGCCTGCCGACGGAAACTGAATTTCGGTCAGTTGGGTGGTACCTGGCCACCTTTTACCTGAACAAGCCCAGAGTTCATCCTTCTCCCACCCATGCAGAGACCGTGCCCTTGTCCCGTGGTCAGTAAGTGGGGCTGAGCTCCCGGCAGCACTGACCTGCCAGAACCGCGAACGCTGCACAGATAGGAGACAGGGCCCACCACGGGAGCCCCACGTCTGAGCGATTCTCACACTCGGATCCACCGGGGCAGGAGCAGACCCTCACATGGACCCTCTGCTTCTGGGTGAGGCCCTGCCTGTCTCCTATGAATAGTGGCACCACGTAATCCCCGGGAGGGAGGCTTCTCAGCATGACGAGCTCAGCAGAGCGGCCTGCAAAGGCAGAAAGACATGAGTAGACTATTTGGCCCGTGTGTATCTCCCCATTCCTCCAGGGCCACAGCTCTGCAAGGACATGGGACAGAAAATTAGAAAGCTAAGAACACGTAGGAAAGAAAAGAGGTCTTTTGTCCCAGGTCTCTCAGATACCATTATAAAGCCAAATTTCCTACAGCGAGGACCATGTGTGCCTTCCTAAAGGCACCCCAAATGAGGGTGGAAGATAACTGTGCTAACTTAGGGCACAAATGATCCACAGCCTTGAGTTTTTAGCACCCCTCATTCCAAAACATAAACAACGCCCCTCATAAACCTACTTTACAACTTTATTGTCAGAAGAAAAGTCTGTAACCTTTAAACCTTACTGTAAACTATAGTATCTGAACAAACACCTACACCCGCAGGATTCTGTCTACGCACAGGATCCTTCCTACACCTGCAGACTCATGCTATACCCACAGACCCTGCCTACACCCACAGGATCCTGTCTACATCTGCAGACCCATGCTATACCCACAGACCCTGCCAAACACACAGGATCCTTCCCACACCTGCAGGATCCTGCCTATACATATAGGATCCTGCCAATACCCACGGGTTTTGACTTGGACCATAGAATCCTGCCTACATCCATGCAGGATCCTACCTAGACCCACAGGATCTTGTCTACACCCACTATAGAAGCACTTAACAGGGACTCTGCCTTGAGAAACCCATACCCACACTTGGGTATATCTTAGACTTGCCCAAGAGCCTATTGCTCTCAAAATTTTAATCAACTCCAGCTCTCCTTCACTCTGGCTCATCCTGAAAGTCCTTCTTGTGGTAATTTAAGAATCCTGGTTTTGCATGAGTGAAGGTCCCTAGGGGAGAAGGGAACTTCTCTCCCTAACAATGTGGATCTATGCCTCAATCATACCTACCCCCATATTAGCTACCACATCATTGCCACTGGCAAAAGGAGCCATCGGCAACGTTAGAGGGAAAGTCCCAAGATCAGTTTCACTTCTGATAGCAATTGCAAGTTCACATCCCATCATGACAATGCCTAGTTCACACCCATCATGACCACGCCCAGTTCACATCCCGTCATGACCACACCCAGGGTTGACAACTGAAGTGGAGACATGTCCTCCAGGCATAATACGCCCGTTGGCACCAGGCAGCAGAGAGCTCCAGTGACCTAGTAGAGTCTTTCGTCCTTGGTCCCAGCAATGGAATACAGTGGAGTAACAGAGTGGTGGTCTGTCTATGGTGATGAAGGGGCTGCCAGACCCTGACCTGAGATTCCTATCCCCACTGTGTGTGGTCCTGGGGACTGGCACCGTTATGTGAGAGATGCAAGATTGACTGAGGGTGGGATTACATCAGGTACTAACTGCCTCACGGTTGCCCAGAGATGCCCTGATGAGCAGCTGCCCTTGGAGTCCGCCTTGCTCCTGTACACACAACACAGTTTTCCAAGCTCAACTGGGATGGCGTCCTCTCTCTGGTCTTCAGTCTCTCTATCCAGAGTACGTAGACACTGCTTTACATCTTCCCAGGAAAAGTCATATGGAGACATGCTCTGGGGCTCACATAGCCTCATGCACACTGTTACGGTCATGACTGCTATTCACTACAAGGACAAGGGCATAGATGAAAGCTGGGGACAGACGAGCACAGAGCAGACAGTCATCTTCTTCCATGGTGTCAGGAAATCCGCAAGTGACAACATGCATGCATTACTTCATCTAAGCAAGCTCACCCAGTCCTTATGCCCAGAGACCTTTCTGCGACTTGGTAAGTAAACCTGGATGGCCTCCCACAAAACACGCTCTGGTCTTTAGGATCTCCAAGGGTCACCTGAAACTGTGGCCCAGTGTCCCCACCCTAAAATCACTGTTACAGTCTGGGTTAGCCAGCAACTCATACAAACCTTCACCCTGCTTTGTCCTCAGCATCCAAGTGGCGCCTACATCTCTCTGGGCAGAGTCCAAATCAAAAGTAAAGGGGTCAGAGTAGGGGTCTAGGTCTGCATCCTCAGCCTCCAAGAGCAGCGGCTTGTTCCTGGCAGACTCGCAGACCTCCAAGTATCGAGAATGGGACTGGAGAGTTGGAGCGTTGTCATTGACGTCAGACAGGAAGAGCATCAGGGTCCCTGTGCCAGTCAGCGGCGGGAGGCCTTGGGAAGGAAAGAGTCCCAAGGATAACAGAATGGGTTAAAATACTAAAGCTGGACAACGAAAATGAACTTACAAAATCGGCAGCGTCCACGGCTCCTGCGCTAGAAGGACTCATGACAATTGCTAGCTCTCTGGAGATGGAGTCAATTTCCAGTCAGGATGTGGTAGTTAGTTGACTACCCTCTAGTGGACAGACAGACAGACAGACAGACAGACAGACAGACAGACAGACAGACAGACACACACACGAGCACACGAGTGTATGGGCAGCACCAACTGTTCCCGATGGGTTTTAAGAAGCTAAGAAGAGAACACAAAGTCAGGTGTGGAGGGGAGGGGGTGCCAGTCGAGAGGAAGTAATGGAGAGGAGTAAACATGATCCAAGCACACTACATGGAATTCCCAAAGAACCGATAGAACTGTGACCAAATGAATAATTTAAGTCAAGCAAACGAACAAAACCCAGCAGTGTTTTAAAGTGGGAGAAACCGCCTCCCCCCAGCCTTTTACCCAGCTTGGAGGCTCGGAGCAAAGCAAGACAGACTGCCCTCACCTTCCCGGCCTCTGCCTGTCCTCAGGTGGGGAGCATACCCGTGTTTCTCCCTCCTCCTTCTGCCTCTCTATTTAAATTGCAAAATGGGTGTGCTAACAGGACACAGGAGGTTGAACTGGAGCCTGACTTGCAGAGGAGAAGCTGTAGCAGGTCTCTGCCCTACAAATCCTTCCCAAAAGCCAAAGGAGGCCCAGTTTCCCCAGGAGCAGGAAAGCAGGGTCCCCTCCACCCATAACCCCATCACAGCTCCTAAGACTTGACCTGTGAAGACAGGGTGCACTTTCTGTTAAGACAGACAACTCTCCCTCCCACTTCCCAAGCTAAACTTGGGTCAAGCTTGCTCTTCTACAGGCACGGTCTCCTCTATTTACAGAGAAGGATCAGGTAGCAGGAGCTTTCCAGACCTGGTCCATCCACTGAGAGAGCCCTCCTTATGCACGCAGGCCGGGTAAATGACTATGCTCAGGTCTGCCAAGATAAATCCACTCACTGAAACATCTGGCCATTTCTCTTTCAATGCCAAGAACTGCCTAGGCCTGTGCTCAAGCTGTATCTTGCCCATATGAAAAGGCAGAGCCATCCAGGAAGAGCGTCCAATTCCTGGTCATCTCAAGCCATTTATAGATGAGGCAGCGTGTAGAAGCGCCACATGCCCTTTCAGCCATTGAAGGAGGTGTTGGGGGCAGGTCGTTCCTGTAAAAGGGCAGCATGTGGGATCCCCAGGGAAGAGGGGTCAGATCTGACCTGGTGGGGATGTTGCCTGTGATGGTGGACTACACAGTTATATAAGGTGTACTGGGTTAAGCTGGGGAAAGGGTACCAGGATGCTAAAGCCTCACATGAATCTGCTAGCAGGTTTGGGTATCACTGAGGGTGGATCTTCCCTCACAGTCAGAGGTTGCTAAAGTCAGGTACTGAAACTCTGGTCTCCGAACCCCAGGCAGAGATCTGGCGAGCAACAGCAACTGTCTGAGAGATTGTGACTATTTGGCAATAACCGACTACAATCCATAGCACAAATATGGTAAAAGAACAAAGACCCACCAGTTACCAGGGAGGGAAAGTGTCTATTTAGACATTTTAGGGGGAGTATGGAGCTTGCTTAAAAGAGAAAGTTAGTGAGTGGCTTCTCTGGCCACTGGCCATTCTCTCCTCAACCCATAAGCACGTGTTTCTCCTCCGTGGGCCCTACGGCCACGATCCACTCTCACTGCGTGAGGTCCCCCACTTTCCTCTGTGACACGCTCATCTATCTCTACATTTGAGCATACGGCCTCTGGATTATTCTGGTAGAAACCACAATGACCAGGGGAGCACAAGGGAGGACAGAAAGGGATGATGGCAGCAAATCTGCCATTATTTAAAACTCATCTTTCCAAGTTAAAAATAAGTCATGCCAATCACAAAACCTCCCGCAACGGAATCATGACACCCTGGAGTTCCAGTTGGGCCGCTTCTCTTCCCTGGACATGGAGTAGGATCTTGCGTCACCGACGTTCTAACCAGGCCCACAGCACTTGGAACCGGGGTTTTCACCCACAGACTTCTTCAGGTGCAATTCTTAAGCTACTTGAAATGTTCTCACAGGCAGCTTTATACTTTGACGCATTTAACTTCAGCCTTGTGGGGATTTGGAGAAACGCGCCAAGGCATGTTTTTAAAACCACCAGTCCTAGTTTATGACAGCCGTGTTCCACTCAGTCACATTTGCTGGGGCTTATGAGCCATCCCAGGTACAGGAAACTGCTAAATATTTATCACACATCGTTGGGCTTGACAAAGAGATACTGCATTATCTTACCAACAGATGAAAATGGCGGGCCCGATGGCGGCTTCCTCGCTGGTTTAATCATCTCTGCAGAGTGAATACCGCCCGTCTTTCGGTGGTATTGCTCCCTAGCTTACCATTTCAGAAGTTATTATCAAAAATAATCTCCGGCATCGAGGCAAAGTGAAAACAAGGTTTACTTTATAATTTCCTTGGCAATGCTAAAAAAGAAAAAATGGCCTCCTGAGGGAGGGGCCACTCCTGTTAGTGCCCAGCTTTGCCTGGGTACTCACCGCTGTCAACTGCGTGCACAATGACTGTGTAAAAGCTGTCGTTCACGTGAGGGGACTCCCGGTCTATTTGCCTCTTGGTGGTGACCACTCCTGATGTTTCACCCACGGTCATCCAATCTGCTGGGTCGTGAACCAGTTTGTATCTTGTAGAAGGAACACAGACACATTTTTGTTTTAATTGGAAAGCCTTACCAAAAGACAAATCATGGCCATGGCGGTGTATGGTGGTCCATGCCACTTAGGATGTGGAGTCAGAGGGTCGTGAGTTCAAGACCATCTTTAACTGTACAGAGGGTTCAAGACCTTGCCTGGAAAAACATTTTTTATGACAAATTGAAATATATCATGGAGCTTCTGTGGCAGTTTGAACACAAGTGGCCTCCACGGGTTCCTAGCTCTGAATACTTGGTCACCAGGGAGTGGTGCTATTTGAAAGGATTAGGAAGTGTGGCCTTGATGGAGAACGTGTGTCACTGGGAGGGGACAGCTGAGGTTTCAGGAGCCCAAGACAGGCCCAGGGGTTCTCTGACCTCCTGCTGCCTGTAGATCCAGATGTAGAACTCTCAGCTTTTCGACCACGGCCACGTCTGCCTAACATGGCGACAATGACTAACCCTCTCAAACAGTAAGCAAGCCGCAATTAAATGCTTTCTTTTTCAGGAGCTGTCACGGTAATATGGTAAGGGTGTCCCTTCAGAGCAACAGAACACTGACGGAAACAACTACAGTTCCCTTCACAGGAAATTTGGGGATTCAAAGACAATTGAGATCCAAGTGTGTCAATAAAGCACTGTTGGGCAATAGGAAAGCAAAAATAGGTGGGACTAGGAGTCTGGGAGGATCCTGGGAAATGTAACGAAGGAGCTGGTCACCATATGTAACGAAGGAGCTGGGAGGAACGGATGCGGCAGGAGTGCGTCCTAGCAAAGGTAAGTTCTTGTAAAATATATACAAGTAATTATGGGTCAATAATCAAGTCAGGCCTAGCTGATAAGAAACCAAGCAAACGGCTAACATCTTCGTAATTAATAAGTGTAATTAATATAGTGTAATTAATATAGTGTCTCGTGTGTTATTGGGGGTTCAGAGGCGGCTGGCTGGCGGGGAAGACTACACGTCACACAAGTGCTCCCCAAGTGCTCATAAGCTTAAAAAGAGGGCGGGCGGCTCTGGGGTGTCAGTGGAGACTGCTGTGGAGCGCCAGGTCCAGGGTCATTAGAGCAAGTGCCCTCTTCCTGCGTGGCCTGAGCAGAACTGTGTCTGCCTTGGGGAAACACTTGGTGCAGTGGCAGAGCCAGTCTGCAGGTGTGGGGCGGCGGTTTCCTGTCCAGCACAGTGCGTCACGGAAGCTCGGGTCTTTCTCTTAGCGTGTCTGCTTTGCAGCAGCTCCTAAAGGATCCTCTTGCCTGAGGGTCATCTTTCTACCCCTCCATTTGTAAACCTGGAGCCATTTTAAGGGGTAAGCGGAGCCATTTAAGAGGTAAGCAGAGTCGGGTGGTGTGGTGGTGGTGGTGGTGGTGGTGGCGGCGGCGGCGGCGGCAGCAGCTGTGTGCAAACCTTTAAGGGCAGCACTCGGGAGGCAGAGGCAGGCGGATCTCTGTGAGTTCGAGGCCAGCCTGGTCTATACAAAGCTACACAGAGAAACCCTGTCTCGAAAAACAAAACCAAACAAACAAGGAGGTGAGCAGAACACTCCAGGATTCCTGAGAATGGCTGGCATCAGACAGTATCCATTGGAACGATGCCAGGTTACCAACCGCTATGCCTCTGGAGGGTTCCTGTACTCAAGCCAGCAGCACAAAGCTCAGGCAAAGGGGCAGAGAAGGACAGCTTCTCCGTGGGGTTTTGTCTTCCTAATCTGGGAAAATGCTCTCAACGGGGTCCACCACGATCCCTCCTTGATAGTCTGTAGGTCGTAACTTTTAAAGAGACTGTTTTCTTGTGCACAACTTTAGCCATTAGGGAAGGTTCTAGAGGTTTCTGTGGTTTTATAATGCCTACAAGCCAGGGGTTAGAAACTCAAAAGAGTTCATCCACAGATCATCTGAAGCCAAAAGAGCCCTCCAGGCAAATCTGGGCATGAAAAAATAACTAACTTCAACTGATGTGCATTAGACAGAACAAATTAGAACCAACTCTACCCTGTCATAGAAGACACACAACCACCAGCTTGGTCCAGCAGAGTCTGAGGCCACACTGTAGGACTCCATCACCAGAGGGGTCGAGACATAGGGACCAGAAGAAATACTGATAGTGGTGGTAGCCAGGGGTCTGGGGGAGGGAAGTGAGGGACTGGAAAAGAGGCTGAGGGGAGGGGCTTGGTGATGGGATCTGGGGACGTGGGCAGAGAGTCTGGGAAGGGATGGGGGAGTTGGCTTTACTGGGTACAGATCTCATTCTGTTTGAACAAAGGGTGTCCTGGGTGGCGTGTGAATGCATTCAGCACCACAGCCTGAACTCTTAAAGTTGGCAACACATATATACATCATCACAAAGAGCCGACTATTAAATATTTCATTTAAAATAGCAAACGTTGCTAAAGGTGTTCAATCCAGAAGCAAGAGAGCTATGACATCTGGCAAAGAGAGAGATGTAGAAATGTGTAACAAATCTATTTTTTTTTTGTAGAAGAAAAGGACTGTGAAGGGTCAAAGGGGAGTAAGTGGGGGGTGGGGGTACTCCAGGAGGGTCAAGGTGCAAGTTGGATTAACCCAGCCCATTCACCAGGTAGCTTCTTACATTTTTACTCCCGGAGACTGAACCTGTCTCAGCAACATTCTCTAACAGCCAGGAAGCCAGCCTTGTCGCCAGGCCTGCTGTCCGCTCCTCTGTGCCCACCTTATCTGGTTGGCGGGCCTGTCCGGGTCTGTGGCATTGAAACCTCCCAAGCGGATGCCAGGCCTGGCTCCATCCTCCTCACTGACTGTGAAGCTCCTGGGGTGAAAGGCTGGTGGGTCATTGGCATCCACCACCTGAACGCTCACGGTGGCACTGGCCATCGCCTTCGTGGATGGCTGTGGCTGGCCCTCCTCACAAGAGAAGAGTTGCTCCTGATTCTCCACGACAATTACGAGGCTGTGGGCTGCTTGAGTTTCGTAATCCAAAGGCTGTGGAGGCAAGAGAGGTTGATTAGCTCCCGCTGCTCCCTGCTGGGGGAAGCTTAGCAGAGTCATCAGAAACCCAGCTGAGGAGGGAGGTGATCAAAAGCCCTTCCTCAGCTCCCTCTCAAATCACTGGTGGGGTTCACTCTCCTCCTCCTCCGACTCACAGAGCCGCCTGCCCTCCATCAGAAGGTGATGAAAAATGCAACAAAACCCAGAACTCATGAAACATTAAAACGCTAACCATGCCACAGGAAAAAAAAATCAGAGGAACTTAGAGAAATATAGATACTAATGATCATCGCTACTTGGGTACAAAGAGGCCAGGGACTTAGAAGGACCAAGAAGCCAGGAGGTTGGCAAACTTGGTGGCAGGTGACCATGCAGCGTGCTGTCAGATACTTGATATTCACAGTGTGGACTGTGGCCCCTCAATATTTCCTGGAGCTTGTCCAGCTGACAGGCAGAATTCCTGGCTCCACACAGAAGCCGGCTGGCACTCTGTGAGGAAGGTGCTGGCGATTCTCAGGTCTCCTTGACAGCATCTACCGGCCCTGTCAGAGCCCACTGTTCTCAGCTATGTGACTTTACCTAAAGGATCTCCTTGACTTTTGACTTCCTCACCCACAATTATGGCCATAACAATCCCCTCCAGGTCATAACAATCCCCTCCAGGGCCAGCTTCCTCATGGTCATCACGCATTACAAACCCACACAAATGCCCCAACATTCACACTTCAAAGTTTTAAATGTCTTAAACCCAGTAGAATAAAAAGAAGAACTTTTTAAATTAGAGAAAATTTAAAGGGAGAGTGAGTGTGGCCAACCAGTCAGACATTAGCCTAGCATGCACAAAGCCCTGGGTTCGATCCCCGGCACCACATAAAGCAAGCACGGGGCTGCACGCCCATAATCCCGGTACTCTAGAGACAAGATCGGAAGTTCAAGGCCACTCTCTAATACTTGAGACCCTGCCCTCCAAAAATAAATAGTCTTTTAAGTTCACTTTCTAATCACATCAGAAAAACAATAATAACAAAAACTCCAGCCTTATGTGAATGTGGTGAATTTTGCCTTCAATAACAGCAAAAAAAAATTCAAAGAATAATATAAAAAGGTTTGATTATTATGGCTTTTGCAGGAGGAGCCCTCAGCCTTTATGCAAAGGGCTCAGAGGGTCCTGCATTCTTATAAGGGCGACACAGGACACAGTATCCACTCAGCACACAGTGAGTGCTTAGCAGGCACTAGCGCTTCAGTCATGATGGCTGTCCCTCAGACGGGGACCACAGCACCCACACCACCCGGCCCTGGCTTTACCTTGATGACATTTAATACCCCTTGGTTGGTCTCAGGGTCAGTCATGATGTCAAAATGCTTCTCCTCGTTGCCATCCAATATGTTGAACTGTGTTCTCCAAGCTGGTGTAAATGGCGAATCTCGGTCTTGAACAGGGAGATACAACACTCCCCATTCGACTTGACCTTCAGAGATCTGAATCTTATACTGGAAGAAATAATCACCATTCCCACATCACAGACACAAAGACACACCATGGGGAAGAGGGACAGGGAAAGACGGAAGGGCTGGGTCCCCATCCAGACACCCTTGACCTTCAAGCATTTGAATTCCTCCAGGTATAGTAGAAAAAACATTAAGCCAGGGGCTTGGTCCTTCCTATAAATGGCATTCCCTGAGACTCTGTGTCTAAAGCTGGGTGATTTTAAAGGTATTCTTCAAATCCAACTCAGTGGATTATTTTGCTGAGAAATTTTAAGATGCAATACACACCCCAGCCCATGTGCCTTAAGTATCCTAGCTTTTCCACAATGGGGGAGATATTTACTTGGATCAAGGTGGTCATCCTTCTGGCACACACAGCTCCTTAAATCAGCTCATTTTCCAGTAGTTTTACAGACAGCCTCTAAGCCAGCACAGCAGGACAGTGAGGTACTTGTATTTCCAGACTTACTTCTGAGTGCATAGATTTTTTTTTTCCCTAAGCCGGGGAAGGGATTCTGACACAAGATTTCGCTGTGACATTATTTTGCCACCTGTATAAACTCTTGGATGAGGTGCTTTCATCTGAAGATATTCTACGCTGGTTTATGTAATTAAAAAGAAAACTTAAATGGCACATTTTTAAAAATTAATTGGTTGAATCATTAATGCAACAGTTACTATTCCCTGGCCCCAAAATAATAATATAATAATAATAATAATAATAATGAGCTGACAATTGAATGCAAGAGTTGGGGGAGGAGATTAGGTAGAAACCAGAATAAATAGATTCATTAAGTAGAACACCACAAAGAAGACGAAAGAACAAAAAGGCTTACAGTGTCCAGGAGGGACACAGGGGCCATCAAAGAAAACTCCTCTCAGAATCAATCTGTGTGTGCGCACAAGCATACCCATGCAGAAGTGTGCCCCCCCCTGCCCCCATCATCACTACCAAGACAACTTGAAAGCGTAAGATCTAGCCTCCATCTGTGTTGCAAGGATGGAACCCAAGCTGTTAGGATGGCAGCCTGCTGCTTGGCCCACTGCGTCATTTTGATGGCTCCAACCTTGCTTTTGGAGACAGGTTTTCCGCCGAGATCTAGGACTCACAAATAAGGCAAGGATGGCTGCCAATGGACCCCACGACTCTCCCTGCCTGTCCTCAGTGGATACCACCACGACCAGAGTTTCATATGAGGGTGGGGAGCAAGTGTTCACCATGCTGGCCGATCTCTCCAGGCCCAGGTGGACTTCCCAGTTCCGGTCTATGTCACTTTGGAGAATTGCATATATCTTACTCATGACCCAGTGGAAAGAAGTGCCTAAGACTGGGACTTGGGACCATCTGTAGAGGCTTACAATTTAGGCAGCCTATGCCTTACATGGTCTTCCATAAATGTGGGCCTGTGGCTGTTGCCATCCTCCACACTGACGTGAATGGTGGCCGTGGATGACAGGGATGGCTCTCCACAATCTGTCGCTCTGATCATCAGAGTGAACCAAGGAGCAGTCTACATGGGAAGGAAAAGGAATGTTAAAGCCCACAAACACAGGAGAGGGGAACACTGACAAGGGTATTTCCTTCTAGCAATTTCCAGAGCAAGGCTTAAACACAGAAGACTACCAGCTGCAAATGCAGACCCCAATCTGGGGCACAAGCATAAGCAACACTGTGTGTGTGTGCGCGCGCGTGTGTGTGTGTGTGTGTGTGTGTGTGTGTGTGTGTGTGTGAGAGAGAGAGAGAGAAAGAGAGAGAGAGAGAGAGAGAGAGAGAGAGAGAGCACGTGCGTGCGTGCACTTGCATGCTGTTCTGCTGTTCTTCAGGCATTGACCACCTTCATTTTTGATTCAGTGTCTCTCATGGAGCCCAGAGCTCACCAATTTGTCTAGCCTGACTAGCCCCAGTGATGTGCCTTTCTTTGCCTCTGTAGCTCTGGGACAACAGACACCCTGCCACAGCATTCAGGTCACATGGGTGCTGGGGCTGGAACCAAGGTGTTCCTGCTAGTGCAGTAAGCTCTTTGCTGACAGAACCAAGCTCACTGGCCCTCGTGCTTTTAAAATAATAAAATCTACATAACCTCATAATTTAAGCATCCTGAGAGCCGTACTTCCCCACTGATGAGATCAATTTGAAAGCCACTTTCTCTCAGTAATGGTGTTTGAGAAACGAGGAAATAGAGGACTTGAGAATTTGGAGTATTTTCTTGATCCAAATCCACCGTTGACAACTGAAAAACAGGTTGACCTAGAAAGAAGTTTTTAAGAATGTTATTGCTATCTGAAGGTAGTTTGCTAAAGTAGAAAGAGGGAAGAGTCTTCGCAAATTCCATCAGGGCACACACCAGAATGAATGGGAGGGATGATTAAATGAGAAATCAGCTTACAGACGCACTACATGAAATGAAGTTGGATGTTTAACTAAGGGCAAACTTCAAAGAGCTTTCTAGCTATGGCTGCTGTTGTAGAAGAGTTTGGGGCACAACAGATTCATGAAGTTTTTAAAGTGTGTAAAAACCACAGACAAAATTTGAAAATAACAAACTGAGTCAATACATCTGAAATGCATGTGGTGAGGAAGCGTTCCTCACACGGAGGGAGCAAGTTGTGATCCAGAAGAAAATGGCAAAACACAGTAACAGAAAATGAACAAAACAAAGAAGCAAGCCATGGATTCAAAAGAAAAGGCTGAGAACTGTGTGAAAATGCTCAGCCATAATAGGAAAGATACCCAGACAACACTTGGTACGCTCTTGAGTGCTGCTGTCAAATGAGCACTTGACCCACGTCAATCCCGTGGCCCGTTTGAACCGGCCACTCTTCTCTCCTGAGCTTATGCGTCATGAGTGATGCCCAGCAGCAGCATAAGTGAACTCAAACAGTTCACAAAAATATTTTTTAAGAGGCATCAACAAAATACTCATCAGCTGGAGACCAAGGAAGAGACCTCAGGACTTGTCCACAAAATATCTGGTATAAGGGATTGTAGAGTATAGTTTTCCCTGCCAGTCGCCTGGGCCCTGCTGCGACCGCAGTCCCCAAATAACACACAAGACACTATATTAATTATGAAGCTGTTGGCTGTTTGCTTGGTTTCTTACTGGCTATCTCTGACTTAAGTATTTAGCCCATAATTGTTTTTTTTTTTCTTTTATCATTTTTTATTTTAATTTTAAATAGCTTGTTTTACATGTCAATCCCAGTTCCCTCTCCCTCATCTCCTCGTGCACTCCCCTTCCCCCCCCAGCCTCCCACCCTATTGCCAAATCCTTCCACATAGGGGATATCTAGAGTCTGTCATTTTACTCTGGGTAGGGTCCAGGCACTCCCCTAAGAGTCCAGGCTGAGAGAGCATTCCTCTTTGTGCTATGGGCACACGATGACTGTATTCCAGGGATAGACACTGATCCACAGCTCAGGGCCCCATAGGTTGCCCAGGCCTTCTCGCTGACACTCACATTTGGGGAGTCCAGATCAGTCCCATGCTGGCCTCCCCACTGTCAGTCTGGGGTCCAAGAGCTCTCCCCTGTTCAGATCAGCTGTCTCTGCTAGTTTTGCCAACCCATTCTTTGCCAATTTGCTCATCACTCCTCTCTCTGTCACTGGGTTCCTTGGGTTCAGTTCAGTGCTTAATTGTGTGTTTGCCTCTGCTTTCATTAATCACTGGATGAAGGCTCCCAGATGGTTATAGACATGAAGTTCATTATCAGGAATGGGCATTCGAGGTGGTCTCTCCACTATTGCTTAGCTTGCCAATTGGTGTCATCCCTTTATATCACTCCAGGTCACTCTGGTGCCTGATCTGTCTTCTAACCTATGATTCCCTCTTCCCCCTATTCTACCCCCACCCCCTCAACTTCCTGTTCCCCCATGACCTACTCTCTCTTCCTCTTCTCCCCCTCTCTTCTTCCCAGCTCCCACTCCCCCCCACCCCTCGCCGTGTTCCCCATCCATTCAGAGGATCTTGTTAGCCCATAATTGTTAATCTAAGTATTTCTCTTAACAGAGAAAGGGTCCGGACCTCTTACTCTGGCGGTCTACAGTGTGTCCCTCTGCCTCTCTTCCCAGAATCCTCCTTGACTCCTAGTCCCACCTATCTTGCTTCCCTATTGGCCAACAGTGCTTTATTCAACAACCAGTAAGAGACAGATTGACAGAATGGCATCTCCCATCACGAGATGTACAGGGAAGCGTTGTAGGTAAAGTACTTATATTGTTACTCCATGTCTGTGTGATGGGAGCTCTCGTGCCGCAGGAAAAGTGTGGAGGTCAGAGGACAGTCAGCTCTGTGGGGTCAGTTTTCTCCTTCGACCTTGGTCTGAGTTCTGGGGACAGATCTTGGAGTACAACTGAGCCATCGCACTGAGCCAACACGGCTTTTTAGAGGAAGCAGGCACATAGAGGAAGAAATAACCCCTGCTCCCTACGGTGGGATGCCTCACCCAGCCTTGATGCAAGGGAGAGGAGCTTGGTCCTGCCTAAAGTTGAGATGCCATGCTCTGCTGACTCCCACGGGAGGCCTTACCCCTTCAGAATGGAGACAGAGGAGGAGTGAATGGGGCAATTGCATGAGGGAGGGGGGAAGGGGATGGGAGGGGAGGAGAGGAGGGAAGGAAAACTGAGCTTGGTATGTAAAATTGATTAACTAAAAAATAAAAGTTTAAAACAAAACTTTATTTCCCCTCAGTTTGCTAGAAAGTTGTTCTGGCATTTCTGTTACTTGTTCTGGCTTATTATCTTTGTAAAAAAAAAAATCAATGGTCTGAATCCTCCATAAATGATTAAAAAAAAAAGAAATTACCCAGTGTCTATAAATGTTTAAGTACTAACACATGTATATTTTCTGCTATCATAGTATGTAAACGTGTATTTACACTCATATATAAAACCTGATGATGCGTGAACACACCCAACACAAATTGTGTGTAAACATGCATATAAAACGCAAAGGGAAAAAAATACTAAAATTTCACAAACTTCCGAAAATGCTTTCTATTTCCACAGCTTTAGTTCTTGGAATTTTCCAAAGGCTATTTTACAATATTAAACACTGCTTTTGTTATAAAACTAGATTATTCTTCTAGGAAAATTAGTGTATCATGTAGAGATTTAGCTTCTGGAACCCAGAGGACAGATGTCATCTTCCTGCCCCTCTGCAGAGGAGACACTTGCAGAGTCCACTGAGCCCCCCACAGGTCCCTCTCTGTCCCTGTAGGTGTGGCTTTGTTGTTAGGCTGCATTTATATACCAGCTCTTCCCCAGACAGCACAATTTCCACATCCTTTCACTGCCAACACAAAATGCCGCTGACAGAGAGCAAAGCCTCCAGTGACTCTGGGCCTGGGACCTTTTATGTGAGCAGTGAAAAGTCTTCCCGAGTTACCTGATCAAAGTCCTCACTGTTATCAAAGCAGGAAGCCAGGAGCCACACAGGGCAAAGACGGGTGTGTTTACTCCGTAGGACACACCCAACGCACCTGCAGCTTGGGTTTCTTTAACACTGATGTTAAATTCCTTCTCAGGAAACTGGGGTGCATGATCATTCACATCTCTGATTCTGATGTTGAAAATGAGGGATTCGTCCACAAGCTCTCCTGTGGATCGATCCACAGCATCAAAGTAAACCTGGGGAGAAGAGAACTCTGTAAATAGTGTGTGTGCTTATACCTGAGGGCACTGATCAAAGAACCTATTAATGCAAAGGTGTGTGGTGCAGTCCCAAGGACTTGCTTAAGCACCATGTACCAAGCTGCCCTAGGGACTGAGCACCAGCTCTGGCAGATTAGCTATGCCCAGATTTGGGTGAAACCCTTCAAGTTGTTATCAAGGCCATTTGAGTAGACCCAAGCAAGATGCAGGTGAGCTGTTTCTACAGCTTATCAGTGTTGTCTTGAGAAAGGAGACACAGTGGCTATTACTGGGCCTTTAGAATAGTAGCCTGCTATAGGCTTTGGAGAAAGGGATGTCCAGGGAAACCAGCACAGCCATTGTTGACAAGTCAGTTTAACAGAGGGTCACTGTCCTCTCTGATGTAGTGAAGAGGAATGGCCACACCTCTCCAGCACGTCCAGGAGTCCTCCCTTCCTAGGGGCACCAAACTGGTAAGTGAAGCTTGCATGCTGAGAACATTTGTGAAAACTAAGCTAATTAACCCAGGTAGAAAGGAGGAAATAACAAAGATCAGAGTACATTATCAGTGAAGTGGAAAACACCAAACAGCCTTCGTAGAACGAGACAGCAGTTCTTTAAGTGACTGATTAAATTAACAATGCTCTAGAAGAGCTGATGTGGGGGATGGGGGCAGAGAGAGGACGAGGGTGAAAGAGGGTATCAAGATCAGAGGCGAAAGGAGAGACATTTCCAAAGATCTTACATTTGTAAGAGAGACAGAAACCCTCTCTCCCCTAAGTTACTTCTTGTCAGGGTATTTTGTCACTGCATCAGCAATGAAACTAGAACACACACACATACACACACACACCAACACATGCATGCATATGCACATGTATGCCTGCACACACATGTGCACATGCATGTGTATACACATACACACACGTAAAACACACATGAGAAACACACATGTGCAAACACATGCATACACACATGTGCACGTAATTTTTTTTTATAAAGAATCTGTCTGAAAGGACTATAAGCTATGGGAGTGTAACTCCATAAGAGCCTGGGAAACAGCAAACTTACGGAGAGAATAAGAAGCTTGGGGTTCTCAATAAGGGAGGGGTGAGCAGGTGGAACATGAGGGATTTTAAATCAGGGAAACTACTCTACAGGAGGCTGTGGTGGGGGCACCGTTATCAACCCATGTAATGCAGAACATCAAGAGAACACCTGAATGAAGAGACACTAGCCAAGCAACGGGCTTTGGTTGTGATGATGTAAAACCCTGGTTCACCAGTAACGGCAGAAATATGCTACGCCAGGGCAAGAGGCCGACAGCGGGGAACTCGGAGAACTCAACTGCCACTTGCTGTCCTGTTCTTTTCACAAGTCTGAAACTGTTATACAACGCACAGCCCACTAATTACAGGGTGTTCCTAATTACAATATTAAAACAAGGCAATGATGACCACATAACTTAAAATATGCCATCAATTATAAAATAAAAAGTTGGATAGTGGCAAATACATTTCTATCTATTGCAAGGGCTGTATGTTTATTTTTAAGTGACTGTAAACTGCTTCACCGCTGTGTCTCCCTTGATCTAGGATGCAAGGGTCTGATCTGCTGAAGGCTGGCAGGGTGTTGGGCCCCAGCCCCCACATGGTCTCTGTGAGTTGCTTGTCAGCCAATAACCACAGGTGCATCCTGTTTTCTAGTCCTGGCTTCCAGCCTCCGCCTTGCCCCACTGGCATCAACCTTTAATTATGAAAACATGAACTCTTACATCTGAGTTTTTTCCACTGTGCTGGTAGTCTATATATAAGGCTGCTACCTCCTTGCAATAAACACACACACACATATTCTCTCTCTCTCTCTCTCTCTCTCTCTCTCTCTCTCTCTCTCTCTCTCTCTCTCTCTCTCTCTCTCTCTCTCTCTCAGAACAAATGGCTGGACGCCTTGTCTTTCATTAAATCTCTAGGCCAGGATACATTAGATTGCCCGGGGCGCCTGCGCCACAGGCTATGGCGGCAGAGCTTGCCGAGAGCCTGCAGGGATTCAGTTGCAGCAAGAGGCGCCCGATGCCCATGAGCTACAGTGTGGAGGTGCTCTCAAGTACAGGGGCACTGCACTACAGGACCTTGGTTGCGAGCACGGGGTCCTGCTAGAGGTGTCAAGAAAAACGAGTTTCTTAAGGAAGAGCGGGAATGCGTGGGCAGATGAACACTGTGCAACCTGGCAGAAGCCCTAGGGAGCGCCCTGTTTCCTCTGCACCAGAGAGTGACTGGATACTTAACCCTTGGAAGAGGTAGAGGAACCTAGACCCCAGCTAGACAGACAGAGCCTGAAGCATGGTCAACCCCAGCTCCCTCTCCCTCCCCTCTTCCCCTGCCCTCTCCACCCGGCCCCCCAGTCCCCTACCCAATCTCCACTCCGATACCCAGGGAGGGTGAGGCCCTCCATGGTGGATCTCCAGAGTCTGTCATTTCATCCAGGGCAGGATCGAGGCCCTAGTCTTTCTGTTTTCACCTGGCATCTCAGAGCCAGCGTGGGCAGCCTCGGTCTCCTTCCGGTCAGCTTCCCCCTCCAGGAAGGCTGATGGATGCTCCAGGGCGCCTACTCCTGAGCTGTTCCGCTTCAGGGACTCTGGCATGCATTTTTAAAGTTTTCACAAGCAAATTGGCTCTCTCCCACACTGTTGCTCCCTGGTCCTCCATAATTCATGGCTGGGCTGGCAGCTCTGCTCCTTAATCACCCTGACTCCTCGCTCTCAGACTGGGCCAACCGTAATCCTCCCACTTAAATAAAACCGTGTGTTTGTTTTGTGTTTATTATTTCATATTCCATTTATTATCCTAAAAGCTACATCTGAGACCTTTAGTTCTGACAGATGCCTGAGGAGCGTGAGTGCTGTTTATTCATTGGCAAGATGCTAAGAAATTCCAGGGGACTCAGTCACAGCGCAGAAAGGAAATACCGCCGGTGCTTTCTGTGCTTGGAATGGTTTTCAGCCTTTTGTTATAGCCCGGAGATTTACACCCTTGGATAAACAAACCACGCGGCACTTGCATGATGGACCACCATATGGCCATTTGTAATTACACGCACAAGAGCTATAGCCTCACACCCAAACTAGCAGAAGGAAGCCTCTTATATGCCAGAGGCACAGTGGGAAATCGGTTACATGCATGACTTTGAATTGGGTCAGGGCGACGGAGAAGGGATGGTCAATACACCAGTGTTTGAAAGAATGTAAAAGAATGGGCTGGCATGGGCACTTGTGTCCTGTGAAACTGAGAAGATTTAAAAGTAAATAGAGAAGATTCCTATACAGGAAAAAAAATACATTCTTCTCTTTATAAATCTATCACAAACCACATTGCAATTCTCGTCAGATTTCTACAGATTTTTGGTTTACAACATTAACAAGCTAGTCCACCCCCTTCACACCCCCAAACCCAAATTCTACATGCTTTGTCTAATTTTAGAGGACCCCCCCCAAGTTTCCTCAGGAATAGCATGCTTCTGGAGTTTCTCTTTGCTGCCTCGGTGTGTTTGCTAGGTTTGTAATGGTGTGTCCCCTCTTCTCAGTCTGTGAAAAAACAAACAAACAAACAAAAAAAAAAACAAAACAATAACCAGTGTTTGTGCAGAGAAGCGGCTGGTTAGAGTAAAACCTGCCAGGTGACACTTGGCTTATGCCATTCTCCACGCCTGCTGATCTCCATCCGATATGCTTCTGCCTCGGGAGGGTGACAATCTCACCATCACAGTGGAGTTTGTCCTCATGCTCTGGAGGTTAGAATTGCAGTGCAGTATTGCAGGGGACCCTGTGGAGCCTGCTCAGGGTTCTCTTCATGTGGCTTCTGGCCACTGTGAGTCTAAGGATCCCTCATCTTACGAATGCCCATTTCCCTCTCTGCCTCCATCTCCCTTTCCAAATTGCCTTCCTCCTATCAGGGCATTGGCCAGTCCTGGTCCAGTATGACCTCGTCTTAACTTCATTGCACCTCAAGGACTCCGTGGTGTAATGAGAACACACTCACAGCTGCCATGGACTGAGATCCAAGCCCATCTGCTTGCTAGGTGTGATTAGTGATTAGGACTCCTACACCCTGGAGAGAAGACTCGATTTTACCAGCCCGGCACCTCACCTATATAACAATATGTGTATCTGAGACACCAGTACACAAAGATCCCTGCTCTTGAGTCTGGAGAGATGGGTCATGAGGGAAGCCAGGGTCTCTCACCTCTTAGAACACACATTCTGATGGGAGAGATGGCCTTTAAAACCAAGCACAAGTGCCCAAATTCCAGAAAATTCTGACACTAAAGAGGAAGGGAATTGGAGTCGTGGAACAGAGGGTGATTTTTGCATGGGTGGTGCCAGCTCAGAATCTCCGCCCCGTGTTTTCCCTTGTGAAAGTTTACAGTCAAATGAGAGGACCAGGTGGCTTGATTTCTAGTAGCATTTGAATATTTACATAAATATTTAAATAAACCTATACAAAGGACCATTATAGGGAGCTGGAGAGATGGCTTAGTTAGTAAAATATCTACCATGCAAAAAGAGTTGGGATTCCCAGGGCCCAAGAAAATGCCAATATTAGTGGCACACATCTGCACACTAGCCCTGAGGATGTGGAAATAAGGAGGCCCTCCTAGCTGGCTGGGCAGCCAGTCTAGAAAATAGGTGAATCTGGGTTCAGTGAGAGACCCTATCTCAAAAATAAGGTGGAGAGTAAGAGAGTAAAACATGCAACCTCCACATACACAGGAACACACACACACACACACACACACACACACACAGTAAAGGTAAAAAGACAAGCGTGATCTTGGTGTCATGGTGTGACACGCCCCAGACCTCTGCAAAACTGACACCGTGATGGAAGTACCATTCAGGCCTTGGAACCCAGCACACAGGTGGCACCAATGGCCAAAGCAGAACAAAGACCTAATTACCCCATCAAAGACCACGGTTCTGGGAAAGCCCCTGAGGGTACTCGCCTTACTTTTTGCCTTCTGCTGTACTGCATCTGGCTAACTGCCGGGCGTTGGTGGCGCACGCCTTTAATCCCAGCACTTGGGAGGCAGAGGCAGGCGGATCTTTGTGAGTTCAAGGCTGGGCTGGACCGATAGCCTCCAAAACAATACAGAGAAACCCTGACCCGTAAAAACAAACAAACAAACAAAAAAAACAAACAACAACAAAAAAAAAGCTCCTAGGGTCGGGGCTCTGTGTTACCGGCTTACGGGTACCAAACATCCTGCGGAGCCCGTGACGTGTCCAACACATACAGCGAACAACAACCACGCTGGGGCTAAACGCTTGGTTCAGTCTTGCTGAAGCTCCTGCTGCTACAGGGCACCGGGACCATGGCCCTCAGCACAGCAGCCCAGGACAGAAGGCTCGTTAGAGATACAGACTGTCTGGTCCCGTCCAAATGAATGAGCAGTCTGCACACGCGTGTTCATGTCTATGTGCACACGTGTGCACCTGTGCATGGGGGCCAGAGGCCTACATCAGGTGTCTGCCTCAGTCTCTCCACAGTATTCCCGTTCCCCAGGAGCTCACCAATTTTGCTCTATTGCCTGGCCAGCCCTAGGGATCCTCCTGTCTCTGCATCCCCAGCTCTGACGTCAAGGGGCACACAGCTTTCAGCTTTTTACACGGGTTCTGGGACTCAACCTCGGGGCCTCACGTTTGGACAGCAAGTACTTTGCCCGCTGAGCCAGCCCTCCCCACCCTGGAACCCGCTTTTCGCCATGATCCTCCGGTGGCTGGTTTGTTTTATGAAGAACTGAGAAACTCCTTCAGCATACCTCTTGTACTTCCCCCTTTTGATAGCATCATAAATCCTGAAGGCAGGGAGGCCGGAGAACACAAAGACGGTGGAGTTACAGGAGAAGCCCAGGTTCAACCTTGCCTCTTGTGGACTTTGGTCTGGGGAGCATTCCTGTGCCTTTAAAAATGAGTCAGAGCCTTCCAGTGACTTTAAGACTTATTGTTTTGTTGTGCCAGTAAATATTTTGAGGCTTTTCTCAGATATTGCTCGTAAATTGCTTTTCTCAGATATTAAACATCGCATTCCCACCCTGAAGGGGTTAACTGACAGCAGAGCTCAGTTCCCACAATGCACAAGAACAAAGGATGGCAACCTGTGTAGCCAGGGGAGGCTGTAACATGATACACCACCCTGTGGCTTGAAGCTCTTTTCTTTGTAATTCTCTTTCCTAGTTTGGAACCTGAATTTCAACCGCCTTGAAGGCCATGGAATGATGAAGTCACTGAGCACCCAGACCTGGTCAGCAAATCCTCCCACAAAAGCTACCTGGCAACCTCTGGGGTCTATGTATAGCTGCTGTCCACTCTCCAAATGCTAGCCACCAGAAACCAAATCACAGATTTCTGCAGGTGCTCTGTGACTGCATCCCCCAAGTGACTTCCAGTCTCCCCGTCCTGTTGAGATATTGGTCTGAAAACTTGTCAATAGCACCTCATTTCCATTGTATTACACTCCCACGGCGACTCCAAAGTTAGCTGTGCCCCACATACACCTCCAAAACGTGCCACCCTGGAAAACGTACTAATTACCCTGATCCCAACATAGTTAGCCAACAAGTGCTTATCAAGTTCAATGTCTTACAAGAGCTTTTCACTAAACACAAGCTTAGACTACATCCCATTTTAGATACCGTAAAAGATGGTGTCACTTCTCGATCGACAGAGCGGTGGACATATATTTTTCCACTGTGGTGGTCCTCTATAGAGAATAAACCGATCTCTGGGAATTCATCCACGCCGGGTCCTCTGATCAAGTACATCAGTGACACATTATTTGACATATTATTGAACAGCTGGAAAGGGGGGGAAAGCAGAATAAAAAAAATTAAAGGAACCTGCTAATAAACCATGGTGATCTTCAAAAACCAAGGCTAAGAACTAAGGCCTCTTCAGGGAGTCTAAGCAAGCTGTCAGGCTTCTGAGGGGTTGTGCTAAGGAGGCAGAGGGCTCAGCAGGGGTGTGGGAACAAAGACAATGGGGTGGGGTCTGGAGAGGGGCACCACATTTTTCCAGAAAACAAGAGTTTGCTTTCCAGTTCCCACAGAGCTTATAACTACCTGTGACTCTAGCTCTGGGACATCAGGTACCTCTGGCTTCTATAGACAACTGCATCCTGCACAAACCTATACAAGGACACGTAGACACACGTCATTACAAATAACAAAAATACGATCTGGGGCTGGAGAGCTGGCTCAGTGGTTAAGAGCGCTTACTTTTCTGTCCTTGCGGAAGACCAGAGTTTGGTTCCCAGCATCCATTTCAGGAGGCTCACAAACCACCTGTAACTCCAGTTCCAGGGAGATTCTGTTCCTCTGGCCTCCACAGACACCTACAGCCATAGGCATGAATGTACTTGTGCATCCACATGGGTGCACACGTGTGCACGTGCACATGCACACACACGCACAATTAAAATAAAAATGAGTCTTTTTTAAAAATGAAGATGTAGGTTGCACATTGGACTGGACTAGAGAACCTGGGAATTGCATGGACGTTTATGGGATTAGAAAGACCCACACACCAGGATGCCCATCTCATTGCCTTGGACATTCTGCTGCCCTCAAGAAGGTTGAGGGTGTGTACTTCCTGGACAGTCTGGTAGCCACACCCTTCGATGAGAAAGGCAAGTCACAGAAGGGCATGTGAGCTGTGATCTTGGTCCTTTAATAAATACACACTCACATTGTAAGCATTTGGGTGGATCAGGTGGGATAGATATTCTGGCACTTGGGAGTCACAGAATACTGAGTGTTACACAGCTCAGATGGAAAGGTATCCTGGAGCTCAGGAGCCAAGGACTACCACAGATCACAGTAAGCATAGTAGCTTACAGTGCTGCTTCAGGAAGAGGCTTCCCCAGTGAATCTGCTCTGCTCCTGCAGGACAGGGTTTCTTTCCCCAGTGAAGCTGTTACAGTTTAGCTCTGCTCCCCAGGAGGGTGGAGAGCAGAGTGTAACAACTCCACTCTGCCAGGGGAAGGTTACAGCCCTGCTCTGCTCCACTGCAAAAGAAAGTCTCACCCAAACCTCAATCAAAAGATTTATTGGGAGGGAAAAAATCCAGGAGGGTGGCTACCTCTGCCATGGTAAAGGAGGCAGCCAAACAGCCACAAGCTGAACAGACACAGGGTTTATATAGGCATTCTTAGGGGCAGAGCTTTTCCAGGGAGATTTCCATTTGGTTGGTCCCTTTTCCTTGCACACATTCCTAAGTCTGCACCAACGTGTCTGGAAGAACACATACCAATTTGTTAGTGGGTTTCTGTAGGGAAAAGGAACCAGAAAAGAAACATACCCTGAGCAGAGGCAAAGAAACACACTGTGGCCCTGCAACCAGAACCAAAGAAATTCATCCTGACCCAGAAACCAGTGCCAAAGAAACACACTTTGTCCCTGGAATCAAGCCAGTGAAAGAAATACACTGTGGCCCTAAAACTAGAGCCAAAAGGCTAAAAAGGACCAGAGAAAGAAACACACTTTGGCCCTGAAAAAAAAAAAAAAGAGCCAAATCTGACCCTAACCCGTGCAGAAAACTAACCAATCCTCGAGCAGGACCTCTAGCCAATCTGAGGTCAGCATTAAAATCTGACCAATCCCCACCCTTGAAGCCCTATACAAACCCTGTAGTCCTCTGCCACTCTGACAAAGGGCAGCCACTCTCTCTGGATTCTTCCCTCCCAACAAACCCCTTTGATGAGCTTTGGGTGGAGACCTTCTTTCGCAGCAGAGCAGAGACGACCCTGGGCAGAGAAGAGTGAACAGAGAGAGCAGAGCAAGCAGGGATGTAACACTTTTGCCAGGGAAACCTTCCCCTGGCAGGCTCCGCTCTGCTCTCTGCTCTCTACTCTCCCGGGAGCAGAGCTGAACTGTTGCAACTTCCCCTTCTCCTGCTGGTGCAAAACTGCTACACAGGGGAGCCTTTCCCTGAGGCAGGGCTGTAAGCTGCTAAGATTCCACCTGTGGTAGTCCTTGGCTCCCGAACTCCAGAATATCTTTCCATCTGAGCTGTGCAACACTCAGTATCCTGTGACTCCTGAGTGCCAGAATACCTGTCCCATTCTGATCCGTCCAAAACGTTTGCAGTTTCTCTTGAGAGAAAGAGAATGAAAGGTCGCATTTAACTTTTCACAAAGAGAAGCTATGAGCATGACTGACTCTTACTCTTTTTAAAATAAATTACTACATCATCATCATCATTTGTGAGTGTGTGTGTATGGTGTGTGTGAGTGTGTGTGTGTGTGTGTGTGTGTGTACACATGCCGGTGGAGATCAGACGACAACTACCAGGGACTAGTTCTCTCCACCTGAGTCCTGGGGATCAAACTGAGGTTGTCAATCTTGTCAGCAAGCATCTTCACCCACTGACCCATCTCGCCTTCGCTCCAAGTGATGGAATTTTACAGGTGTGCACCACCATACCCTATCGTAATGTGGGTCTTTAAATAATCTCTCCCTACAGCCAAGAATGAAATAAAAAAATAAATGGCTGCATGGGACCAGTGGACCTGTATGTTAGAGTTACTCTCATAGAGTTACAGGGAGAAGCCACCAGCCCAAAGGTACAAACTCAGATGGTCCCCGGAAATCAGGCATCAGAGTCGCAGCCAGTGTCCTGCTGCTCATCTTCCCTGCCTGGCTGTGAGTCAGGCCCTTTGTAACATGAGTGGTGTGATCCCGGGTTCTTTTCCTGAAGAGATAATCAATTAAATGCCAGCAGGAATCCTCTCAAGACCCACTCTTCCTTCTAGAAGGGACGCGTTGACACGTTGTTCACAGAAATAAGAGTATGCCCTTACCTCCCCAACCAGTTTGGGAAAGGGCCCTGGGTCTTCCTCTTCCAGTTCTAGGGTGGTGAGAACCCATCTTCTTTTGGATCTCCGTAGAGGCTGGTGGCTCTGTCCCTACAGGACACAGGATAACAATGTCAGTGAAAATGGTGGCGAGGCCAGCAGCCTGGATCCGTGATATCTGAGCTTCATAGCCAGGCACTGAGCTGACTCAGCATTGAGTGTTATGTCTCTCGCACCCACAGCAGCCACCTGAGCTTGGTCATTGTAAGTGTCTGTCCTCTTGACGGTTGCTGTCATTCCCAAGAGGGAGGCCCAGGCTACCTACTGATTTCACAAGGTCTATGAAATAGCCTTAGGTGTTATGCAGGTTTTGAAGACCATTAACTACCAGGGATGTATGTGTGGTCTTCAACAATAAGCAAATAACTTAATTAAGAGAGAGTCATTCCCTTTGTTAGTCTCTCAGTTTTCCTGAAATCATTGACAAATAAGTTTCTATTTGGTGCTAACAGAGTTTTAATGTCTACTAGTTTCCCTTTTAACACACACACAGACACACATAGACACACACACTCACCGCAGACACATACACACTCATATACACACACATACATACACATTGACACAGGCACACACAGATAGACAACACAGACACAGACTCACACAGACACACAGACACACATCCCTCTGAATTGAAGCTTTTCATCCTGAAATGAAGCTCATTAAGTTCAGGAAGGAAACAACCCATAAATCACAGGAAATCCTTGAAACTTACAGGACACACAAAGTCTCTTGCTAAGGGATACCCTTCTGTACTCTGGAATATGTTGCTCTCATTTGTTGTTGCTTGTTTTACACTTTCCTCTTTCTTGGCTTTTTGTTTATTTTGGAGGCCCACCACCCAGCTCCCAAATAAATCACACACACACACACACACACACACACACACACACACACACACACACACGGAGGCTTTTTCTTTCTTATGAATACCTGGCCTTAGCTTGACTTGTTTCTTGCCAGCTTTTAACTTAAATTAACCAGACTACCTCTGGGATTTTTCCTGTTTTTTGCTTCTGTATATCTTACTTTCGCTCTTACTCCGTGGCTGGCTGGGTGGCTAGGAGGCTGTCCCCCAAAGTCCTCCTCTCCTTGTTTTGTCTTGCTCTTTCTATTTATCCTCTCCTCCTGCCAGCTCTGCCTATCCTTTCTCCTACCTCGCTATTGGCCATTCATGTCTTTATTAGACCATCAGGTGTTTTAGACAGGCAAAGTAACACAGCTTCACAGAGTTAAAAAAAAATATCCAGTATGAACAAAAGCAACACATCTTTGCATCATTAAAACAAACATTTCACAGCGTAAACAAAAGCAACACACCTTAAAACAATACTCTACAACACTCACTGGTTGATAATAAAAGTTGATTTGGCCTATAGCAAGGCAGAATATAGCTAGGTGGGAAGGTCAAACCGAAGACAGGGAGCAAAACAGGGCAGAGTCGAGAAGCGACGCAAACCAGCCACCCAAGAAACAAGGTACCAGCAGACTGCTAAAAGCTGCAGCCATGTGGCAATACATAGATTAATAAAAATGGGTTAATTTAAAAGCTAGTTAGCAATAAGCCTGAACTATAGGCCAAGCAGTTTGTAATTAATATTAAGCCTCTGAGTGATTATTTAGAAGTGCCCGTGAGACCAGGTGAGACAGAGAAACTTCCATTTACAGCCCGTCCCTGATTTCAAGGTTATATAAGCAGTGGGGAGGGCTTAAGGAGAGGAGACCCTTCATCATCGAGCTGCTTGTAAGTTGTGCATTGAGCTCCAGGGCTCTAACTTTCATGCGCCACCGGGGTGGGCACACTGGGGTGGGCTTTCAATGAGACTGCTGCCTTTGAGTCATCCTGCCTGTAAGTACTCCTAACCCACACTCTTGGAAGTAACTCCAACAAACTCAAGTTGGACTTTGGTGGTATCATTACTTTAGGATGCATGATGTTGGTTCCCTGTTTGGGGTATGTAGACAATTGTTCTTGTCACCCCAGAAATAGTGTCACACGATATGAACACACACACACACACACACACACACACACACACACACACACACACACTGTGGCACTTGCTTATGCTATGGAACATTTGTTTAACGATGCAAAGGTGTGCTGCACTTTTTTTATGTTGCATTTGTTTAACGCTCAGTGAAGCTGTGTTACCTTGCCCGTCTAAAACGCCTGATTGGTCAATAAAGAGCTGACTGGCCAACAGCAAGGCAGGAGAAAGGCTAGATGGGGCCAGCAGGCAGAGAGAATAAAGAGGAGGAGGATTCCAGGGGCCAGCCACACAGCTACACAGCCAGCCACAGAGTAAGAAAGAAAGAAAGGGGTATAGGAATAGAGAAAGGCAAAAGCCCAGACGCAAAAGATAGACAGGATAATTTAAGAAAAACAGGCAAGAAATGAGCCAAGCTAAGGCCAGGCATTCATAAGAAAGAATAAGCCTTCATGTATATTTATTTGGGAGCTGGGTGGTAGGTCCCTCAAAGAAAAAACAAACAAACAAAAGAAACTAAACACACACACTCATGTTGGAGAATCTGGTCTTCAAGAAATAACAGCCAGAACCATCGTAATAAGAACAGCTCCAGATATGTAGAGGAGGCCCTCAACAAGACCAGGCCTGAAGGTCTCCGCATGCTCACCTGAGATTCCTTACACTCTTTCCTGTTATCCACGCAATTGTGCCCTAGCTGAACACAGTCTTTGGGGAAGTTATAGCATTTAGGGTAGTGGTCGCCAACCTGTGAGTCACGACCCCTTCAGCAAACTCTATCTCCAAAAATATTTACATTACAACTCACAACACCACAAAAATTACAGTTATGAAGTGGCAACAAAAGACTCTTATGGTTGGGGGTCACCACAGCATGAGGAGCTGCATTCAAGGTTGCAGCGTTGGGAAGGTTGAGAACCACTGCTCTGGGGGGCAGACGTTTACCTGAGGCGGCTCCACCCATGTTGCTCTGGAGACGTTGTTAGACATGCTGGGGTTGGGGGGCATCTCAGGGATGCAGCCCTTTGTGGATCGTCTACACTCCTGTCCGTGAGCTCAATGAGCAACTGGTGCCCATGCTGGTCTTGGGTAGAACCATTTCTTGCTTCTATCACTGATGCCCTTATCTAGTTACTTACTCACATCTTCCCAAGAAAGTTACCGGAACTGGACAGACAGTGTTAGGGTTTGATTCTGGCATCAGGTGTTCACTAGGCAAGGAAATCTAGACAGAATTTAACCCCATGGTTTGTTCCTCACATATCCATTCCACGGCTACCATCTCCTTATACGTCAAGATGGATTCTGGCCATACTACCCTTTTTCACATTCACTTTTATCTGCAATAAAACGTTTTTTTTCTTTTTAGGTGACTTACCTATAAAGTGAATGACTAGAAATAGGAACACTACGCTTATCAGGTAGTAGTTCAGTCTGCCCACCCTAACCCTGAAGGGATCAGGCGTGGCACAATGTAATCTAATAAACAAGGAAGGACAAGCCTGCCCGCTCGCCCCTTTGACCGTTTTCTGCTCTTCCCTGGCTTCTTACGTATTAGTTAGACATGGAAACCTCGCTGGCCTCACTGACAGTGCCTGGGGTTCCAGAAGTCCACATGGAGCTGCAATTCTCTGCTCAGCAGTCAAACATGAACACGGCACGGAAGAACGCAGCCCCTCCTGTCTGTGGGCAAAGGGCAGACTCTGGCCTCTTTCATCAGAACTGACTCCCAACCCCCACCAATGGGACGGAGACAACCATCGGCTTCCTATCGGAAGCTGTCAATGGCAGTAGCTAATTAGTGTCATTAACTAATGTCCTCCTCGTTAGTGTCCTACAGCAACTGCATGGGGCAGCACAAATACCGGAACAGAACCTCTGCGTTTAGATTTTTTTGGGTCACGGTTCCAGAGGTGGAAGCCAGAGGCCACCTCCTGGGTGCTAGGCAGGGACTGCACCGCCGAGCTACATCCCAGTCCCTGTGCTTGGTGTCAGTGGTTATGATGTCTTCTTCACTGCATCTCAATTTACCATCACCCTGTCCCTAACCACAGGGAAAGAGTCAGAGGACTCTGGTGTGTCGTTGCCAGCAGGGGAGGTGGGGATGCCCAACCTTGAACCACCCCGCTCTTCTGCCACTGAAGGAGACAGTGGTAACCTCCTCTGGCCAGGGTCAGCACAGAGCCTAATAGGCACGTGCAGAAGCCAATGTCAGCTGGCCCTGCGACTTAACTGGGCTTTTCCGTGTCCTCTCCAGTTCTTTTGTTTACAATAATTAGTAAAATAACAGATCCTGATGTTTTCACTGGGCATTCCGGCATTCCTAGTGTGTGATTTGCACTCCAATAGCCTTAAACACCCACCCCTCAAAAAAAAAAAAAACCATTTCCGAGGCTGAGGAGACACAAAAAGACAAGCTTTGCAATGGAGCCCAAAGCTAGCAGTAAACTAAAGTGGGTGTTGACTTCAGATAAGGCGGAAGCAGGGGAAAACGTGCACTCGGGGAAGGTATGGTGAAGCAAATGGGACACAAGTTTTAACAGTTGATAAACTCTCATATAAGGTATTTTGATGGTCCAGTGAGATGGCTCAGAATGTAAAGGCACTCGCTGCACAGGCCCTGGTGTGTATCACTGCAACAGAAGTTTTAAGACACACTCACACACACACACACACACACACACACACACACACAAGCACATGCACACATGAACATGCACACATGCACTCAATCACAAAACCCTCGGGACACATCTCGCCTGAGGGTGCTGAAGCCGATCATGGCCGAAGGGGCCAGAGCAGAGGACAGGTCTGTGGAGCCCACTGCACGTCCCTCAGGGAACAGCAGTAATACCGCTTTAGCGGGCTGTCACTCATGCTGGGGTTGGGCTTATTGGTGATACAACCGCCCAAGAGTCACCCAAGCTCCTGTGTGCAATCCCTCACCCACGTTATTCCCGTGGGGGGACTCCAGTAATTTCACAGACTCACTGAGCTGGCCTTGGTGGGAATTTTTCCTTTGTATGTTGCAGCCCTCTTTGTCCAAGCCATTCCTGTAGT